AAAATGCAGCCTGGGTTGGAAAAGTAGTCTAATTGGCTTCTTTTTCTGGAAGTTATACATTTTCAAAGTGTGAACTTGAACTCCCATGGGCCTGAAGCCTTAGGCTTGTTACACGTTTTACTTACATTGGTATTACCTGTTGAGCATAATTAAAATTTGATGTTGAATTTGCAGTTTAACATAATGTACTTTTGCATCAGAATTGACAGTAGCCTATTTTGTGCATAGTTATTTCCTGCTTTTTGTCTGTACATTTGACAGCTTTGCTGCCTTGTTTTCAAGTAAATATCAGTTTGTTTCTCTTCATTTTTCAGAAGTAAAGATAAGTTTTTCACATGCCACATATGATAATGATAAAATAATAGAATTATTTTATGTATAACTACATTTAACTCTCCTCATCAGGATTATGATGGTTTAGTTCTCCTTGGCTGTGACACAACACACTTTGACATGGTTGCAGTGAAGGATAGTGCCACTGTATTTAAAACAACATTCAGTGGTAGAGATGCTGTACTGAGAGTAAGTGCCTTAATATGGATGAAGCTGTTCTGCCTTTTGCATGTGTTTGTGTGTGTGATACTTTAAATAAAGGAAATGCTACTTGATTTTATAAATATCCACAACTGTATAATAAGTGAACAGATTACTAAACTGCTTTTTTAGTTTTCATAAAGAATTTGACACTTGGAATAGTTGTGTGTTAATTCATCTACTTGCTTTTAATTCATATATTTATATATGATCATTAAAATTTGATATATTGCATAATTCTGGTGTTGATGTGTATATATTACATGTACATATTTCTGTTTTGTTTTCCTCAGGAGTATATAGTAGGTAGTCATGGAGGGGGAAGCCAAGAAGAGTTCCTGAAGAAAGCAAAGGACTACAAAGCCTTGGGTAGTGGCAGACTGGTGCCTTTGGAAGCCATCTTCTTTCAGAAGGTAATGACAGAGTTTAATGGAGCTGAGCTTCTTTTGAAAAGGTATTGGCATCAGTAACAGTACAAAAGAACTTCAGACCAAAGTTGATCTTAACTTTTAAACAAAAGATTGTGGTCCTCTTCACTTCAGGGTAAATCCCTAGTAGTCCCCTGCAGTAAAGTAATTACTGGTCTTGGACAAAGGGCATTTATTTTCAATTTATCACAGTATATTTTAGATACTTTTGATTTATCTTGGTCCAGTAAAGTAGACTGAAAATATTTTATAACTATTTTCTGCAATACCTTTGTGAAACTGGAATCAGATTAAATTTGCAAGTATTACTCTACAAGTATGTATTGGAGCCCTTGAACAATTTAACATTTTCAAACACCATATCTTCCACTGAAAAAACTTAAAATTGTTATCTATGAGATGCTTCAGAAACCTGCTGGTGTTGATCTTTCACCGTTTCAGAATGGGTGCCAGTGCTTTGCCAGAACTCCTTACTATAAATTGAATGCTGGAGGTTTGTCTGCTAAAGGAGAGGCCTCTACAGAGGTGAATAAAAGATATAATAATAATAATAATTATTATTATTATTATTATTAATTTTGCTTAATGGATACTGACAGGACCTCAAAATGCACAGTGCAGTTTCTGTTTAAGGTTTTGATAAGGGTTGTTCCATGTCATAATTATGCTATGTCAAGATTAAGCATATTACATTATGCAGATCAAATCTGTGAAACCTCCTTTTACCTATTTTAAGTGCTTCCACCATGCATATTATCCATGCAGGTTATCTGTATTCATTGACTGAGGATGCAGAAATTAAGACACCAATTCCTTGCTCAGCACAGTTGCAATATTTCTAGGCTTTCTACAAGCTCCTGTATGGTGCTCTGGAAGGACTGTGTGTATTACATGGTGCTGGGCTGGTGCATGGTGCCCTCCATCCAGAGAATGTCTTCATTGGGGAGGATGGCTATGGTGTCCTAGACTTCAACTGGAGCCTGACACCAGTAAGTGGAGCATCAGTAAGATGATATTTTTAAATATAAAAGAATACAAGAACTGGATGTAAAGATATTGGCCAATGTTAGTGTAGATGACAGTCTAGATATTAGTCTGGGGCAACTGACTAAGGCATAGTAAGGGACTTAATGAAAATTTGATATTTCAAAGTTCTAATGTTGTGTGAGTTAACTGGATTTAAAAAAATGGAATGTTTTACTATAGTCTGTAAGTTTTTTTTCTTGTAAAAGGTTATGTTTGCATGAATTACTATATCTTGTCTTGAATGTAACCCAGGAGGGAGGAGTATGTTTTATATCTTATTGTTATAAAGATTTAGTAATACTTGTTTCTCCAGGAGCAGCGTGCTGGAACTGTGAAGACATTCTCCAATGGATTGAAGTTCTGCCCCCCAGAGATGAAACCAGGTGACCCACCCACTATGCAGGGGGATCTCTACTGCTTTGGACTGCTGATACTTTGGGTAACACACACACACACACACACACACACACACACACACACACACACACACACACACAGGATTGTTAGAAAATAAATGTGTTTAAAAACTATATAAAATAGTTTGTGTTCAAAGTTTGTGTTCAAAAGGCTTTTGTATAGCAAATTTGTGCTTTCCAGTGATTTTTTGCCAACAACTCTTAACATAAGTCCGCTGTAAGCATGTAAGATTTGTACCACCAGTTTTCATCCTATTTTCGTTTCAGCTTCATTTTCCAGAGGTAAACATGAGTGCAGTAGACAGTGATGGAGTTCAGTATATACCTGCATATGGTGTGGTAGGTCAACCACCCCAATACTCAGACATGATTTTGGGTTGTAAGATAAAAACTAAGTAGACAGAATTGCCTCAATGATGGCCTTACAACTGGGTGGTCTGGGGGCTGTTTGTAAGTCAGAAAACTGTCTTGAAAAATATGAGATTTCCAATTACAGCGGGGAGGGGGGGGGATAAACATCTCTGAACCCACAATCTACAAAGAAAAGATATTAACTGTAAAGAGTGAGTAATGCAAGTAACTTGGAATTTGTTTATAAAAATTTACAAGATATTTTCTTCTTTTTTCCATATTGTAACTAAACAATTTTAAGATATGGCATTTGGGCATTTAAATAATTTCTAGAATACTTTTGTATGTCTTAATTTTTTATAACAAATTGTTATGCAAAAAAAGCATTTATATTTCAAATCTTCCCCGGTGAAAATGAATGCTGTCTTTCTGAAATAGTAAATTGAATTTTGTAAAGGTCATAAGTAATGTGCCAAGTAAAGACTAAAGACTGCATTCACTATAACATTCACTCATACAATCACCCCAGCAGGCAATAGTTAAAACATGAAGTACATGACAAGATGAGCATATTATGGTATTATATCTTTGGTCCTTTCTCAATGTCACTTCTTGATCATAGTAATAGTTTCTTTAAAACAACAGCTATAAATGGTTTGGGTCATTGTATACCATACTGAAAATCTCTCAACTGAATTTCCTTTGAGTAATTGGTCTTCTGGTTGTTAGACCCCCACCTTGAAGTTGGTACTGGAGGCAGTGCTGCAGAGAAATCCTGCACAGAGAGCTACAGCAGAGAGACTGCTTCAAAGTGACTTTTTCACAGAAACGCCCCTAGTAAACTCTGAGGAATTTGAACCAGAGACATTGCAGCTTAGGCGAGTAAAAATTAATAACTTTACATTTTTATGAATACAGATTTTCTTTATTTTATTATATATTTATTTGGTGCCCTGTTGTCAAAAACTTGACCAGCATCAAAGAGTGTAAAATAAGTGGCAGTAATGAAGCTCATAACACATTTGTGAGAATGATAATTAATTGCATCAGAGTCAACTACTTCATTCTTATTATAGTTTTATGTTATAAAAAAAAAAAAGTAGCATTGAACAAGACTTTACATTACCAGGCCCAGGGGGTTGTCCCCATCCCCCACCAGTCAGGGAAAGGGAATACTGAAGAATGGGACAGCCAAGCTTCAGAGACCAGAGGTTGTAGAAACTAAGATGTGGAAGTCTGACATAGATGTCACTGCGATTCCCCTGCCTATAGAGAGTGACAGCCAGGAATCCTTTACAGTGAGTATATTTATGTGTTTAGCTTTGTGCAGTGGAAAATTTTAGACTTCATTATGGCAATTTGTGGGAAAAAGCACTACTGTGCCAGTACAATTGCCTAACGTTTGTGCTAAAGTCTGACATAAAATTGTCTTCATTTGTACAAGTGCCCGTCATTGCTTTAGATTAAAAACAAAAAGCGAGTGAGAATTATTTTATAGATGAAGATAATATTGTATATATGCAGGATTTTCTCTTTTTTTATGTTATCCTTAAACTATGCAGAACTAGAGAAGTTTAATTTTATCTTTTTTATTTGTATCTTTTCAGTATATTTTTTCTTTTGGGTTTGTGAAAATGTGATTTAATAACTGTTTAATTACTGAACATGTTTTATTTTGCAATAAGTACTGATTGACTATATAATTTAATACCAAAAAGTACGGGGAAGTTTGGCATAGATGCAGCACTACATCTGTGGAAGCTCTATGCATTCATTTATAATATTTATTTATAACTTCATAATCCATCTTACAGGAACAAATGGATACTGAGCAGATATCATTCAAGTGTGTGGATATCAAAACAGGTACAATGTCAATGCTATATACATGTGTTAAACACACACACTCTTTTTTTCTCTTTCATTAAGATAGTGTTGACCCAAAGTAATATGCACAGACTATTCCAGCTAGAAGAGTGCTCTTAAAACAAATACATTTAAACTAAACATATTTGCAGTATTTATTAACAAACAGATCAAAAATATGAGAGATATCTGAACATTATACTAAATAGACAACATTATACCATACTGTATAGTACAAAAAATAGACAAAAATAAAAAATCAAATTATGAATTGATTTAAAGATAAAAAGGAGTGGATACAAAAGTAACATAGCCCTGTTAATGAAAAAATGTTGAATATGATGTCACTTTTCAGAAGAAAACCGAGCAGCAGACGGTGGTGACGTTACACCCACAGGCGATTTAGACATTTTTCCAACCAAAATAGCACACAGAAACTAAAAAGATGGTGAAGAAAAATCACATCTGAAATTGCAGTGTCCAAAGGGAACTTTTGGGCCTATTTCACAAAAGGAGTCTTATTCTGCTAGGTCATGTTAAAAGTTCTCTAAATTGCAATCTATTGAAGGTTTGTTTTGGTCTTTTAACCAAGCCCCAAGAATAAGTCATGCTCGTCTTGACAATGATTATTGCTCTCAGTGGTGGCATTAGCTAATTTAGTTATGTGAGCCAAAATTNTATATATATATGTCTTTGTGGAAGTAAATTGAAGCTGAGATTCAATAATCACATGAATCATTTACTGAACTTTATATATATATTTAAATCATTTACAAATAAAAATATTGTACCAAACTGAACTTTATATATATATACGATTCCCTACAGGTTTATTGGTCAAATCAGAAATGCAGTAACTTTCAAACTAAATACAGTACATCCCAACCTTTCCTATACATTCCGAAAGCCGTGTCGCGCCATTTCTTGAGTTCAGGCTTGGTGTTCCTCTCCCCTTCTGGGCCCGCCTCCCGATGGGTCTGTTTGTTCCTTTTCATGTTTTCAAAACTACATTGCTCTGCAATTGCCTCACAGAGAACCTGGTCAATAGGTTTCCTGAGGAAATCGGCAATTTTACGAACGTGGTTCACTGGATCCTACAAGGAAAACAAATATTGACACTTTCTTGTCACATATATTTGGTAACCAAGGAAAGTCGAGAGTCACAAGTGTGCCAGGTTTTGGATTGTTTGCCAACACCTGTCCTTATTTATCTACGTATGTGAAAAAACTACATGTACATATCAAGGTGACTTTGGTGTGTCTAGTTATAAGTTCTGTCAAACTGAAGTATCATTTACTAATATATGGTTAGGCCTACAGTCTGTACCCATCGTTTATTATCTTGAATTTCTTCTTTGTCAGTACTGTTCAATTGCCCCTATTAATAAATACAATTAAAAACAAAATGTAAACCTCACCTTCAGCATGTCCTCATATTTTACGACAAGAACTGTATCCGTGTGCTGCTTGGCATATTCCCAAAATACTTTATAGTAAGCAACCCAACTATCATAGCACTCTGAAATGACGAAGAACAAACATCTTAGTGACGTCTAAACGTGAGGACGTATGTTCAACATGCGCCTCTCCCTGTACTATTTTCATTTAACTTGAAATATTCCACCAAGATCGTCTTTTGGGTCAGTCAGCACAGTACCACTTAAGTTCTACCCAGTAGTGGATATCTGTGTCCGCCGCAAATTTAGAATTGTATTTAGTGATTATTTATTATTGTATGAAACATATAACCGCTCTAGATGCTTTACGAAGCCGTATATGGAGCGTTAATCAATACCCCTTAGATAATGCGCCCACAGGTGCTAAATTGCCATTTGTTAAACGGATGTATTTAATTGTCTTTGGCGGACATCTTGAATTTCTCATAAAAAGTTTAATCCTGCAGCTACTCACGGTCATACTTTATCAGTTGTGGTATAAGTTCGAAAAATCCATTCCATGTTCCTTCATAGTTCTTTTTCTTAAGGCCCAACATGTGATAATACAGAGAAACGTAAGCATCCTTAGGATTACGAATAACGAGGATGATTTTGTTTTTCTTAATAAACACGTCTTTGGGGATCCAGTCTGACGTGAGATGTGTGTTCATAACGCGCGGGGAAGGTTTGGAGTCGAAGAAAGGCAAATCTTCGTGTTCTATGAAATAATCTTCTTTTGGCTCTGCAATTGTTTCTGCTTTTCCTTTGATGATCATCGAAGCAATCTCCCATACCCAGTGATTACCTGAAAACAAAATGTGAACTTTAAAAAACTGGTTGCAAGAGCAACTGGCATCGTATTTCCCCTAGTTGTTCGTATCTAGCCTATGACTTTCTCTCTGCCAGAGTCCCTTCTAGCTGTACTAGCAGTTATAATTACAACCAGTTTTGTAACACTTTAATTTAAACAGGTAGTTCTAAGGGTCTCTGGTAAAGAGTACCCCTGGGTACGTTTTTCATTAATATAAAGATCTATGCCAAGACCTATGTCTCTGAGAAATATGCAATAGGCCCGAGCCATTCCAATCCCAAGAGTTTTATAAAATGGTCAGATGTACCCGGCAGACACACGGACAGGCGGGCAGACAAACAGGCGTATTCTTACCCTATACTCAGTACATGTACCAGGGTCACAGATTGATTTTTCAAAAGATATTTACAGTTCTGCCTCTGGCTAATTCATGAATCCAACCTTGCACTTTGAAAAAGTACACATATTTTAATATATTTTAATTAAAATACGGCCTCGATGGGGAGTAACGTTTCCTCATATATCACTATGTTTAATAGTTACCGCATTTTCGGTAGCCGCAAATCCAGATGTCATCCTCTCGAGCGACGAAATGTGTTAGGTTCTGCATTCGCTGTACCATATTTGGTATCCCAGGAAGCCCAACCAAACCCTTGAATTGTTTCCATGGAAATGGAAGGCCCTCTCCGTCCTTCAACTCGAAGATCGATTCTTTTGGGTCTTGGTCAACTTCGGCCGTGTGGAAAGTTGCATTAGTCATGTTAGCCATGTTGGTCAAATTCAAAGCTTAGAAAAAGGGTTGCGAAAGTCCAGTAAACAATGCTGAATTTAAACTGTATTCGCGTTCTTTGCACCAAGATATACTGTGAGGATCTCCATGTTCAGAGGTTCAGCATTCATGAATTCAGATAAAATAGACAGCAAAGGAGATACAGTTGTAAATGCATTTAGCCTTACATTAAGTAAATGCAGGCCATAAACCTATTTTCTGCAAATGTTCTACCTTTGACATATAGATGGGGCCTTTTTCATTAAACACGTGGTTAAAACATTGCAAAATGCACTATATGACGGGGTTTATGTGTTTTGCAGTGGCGCGTTGTGTTACAGCCAATACTAACGCTAATGTTTGTTTGTTCTGCACTGGAGATCTTTTATTTATTTGGCATATATGGACTACATGTGATAGAAGATGTGAGCACCGTCTCCCCTTTGATTTGACATGCAGATCCCTGGGCGCTGGGCTATTTTATTTCTACCGTTGCTTCCACTTCTTTCCCGTCAGTTCCACCTCTGAGTTTAAGCTGATAATCTTAGATATAGTCACCAGATATTCTTGAGAGCAAGTTCTGTGCACATCCTGCGGAACCCATCTAGATAGTAGTTGAAGGAAAAACAAGAACAAGGCAGGGGCGATACCAGGATAATTTGAAGGAGGGGGGGGGGGGGGTCGAAAAAAAATTGGTATTTTAGAGGGCGGACGGTGCCATTTGGTGTGGTTCAGAACTAAGATTCAGCTAGTCAAATTTAATTTTAAGAGGGGACCATTGGTGTGATTCTTTTCAGAAATCGAAGAAGGGGGGGTCAGGTTGTTTTGAGCTGAATCTTTATGATTACAACGAATATTTCTACCCACCCAATTTATAACTTTGCATTGCTTCCAAAACTTTGACAACTTCTCAGAAAGTAAATCTTTTTTACCACAACGAAATTTAAAAACAATTGTTCTTATTAATTTTTTACTACCGTACCCATGGTTAGTTATTGTTCTGACAATAATTGTGTTAGCTGGGACAACTGCTGATTGGTTCACGGAAACTCGCGACAATATTTCGCCACTTTCCGCGGCACGTGGGAAATGTGTTGATGAAGATGGCAAGTCTGCCGAGGCACCACGGCGTCATTACGCATGATGTTTATGTTACAAATCTTTCAGTAGATGCAAATGAGGTGAGTGAAGTTAAACTTAATTCTCGTGCAACTCTGGCTCTGCCTCATTGAATCGGAAACCGAGATACATACGTTGTATATCGGCCTCATTCTGTCTTGTCAAAACCATCTGGTTCTTTTCACTTTCGACCTCATAAATGTGATGTTAGATGTCTTGTAGGAAGTTCGGTCATCCACTTGGCAGCAATATATGCTTACACATAATGGCACGTTTGAACTAAGTTCATTGTCGTTTGTTAGGACTTGTACTGATACATGCAGGCATCATAAAACATCCGATAAAAACTATTTAGCAGTCAGTGTCACAGTGTATTATATTCCCTTTTGCTGTAATCTTCATTATTAGTTTACTGACATAAGTAGAGATTTCAAAAGATTGTATGTTGCTTTTAAATTGCCATTTATGCTTGACTGTGTGACCAGAGGAAGCCCATAAGTAAGTACCTGTACATATGTTATTAATATGATGATTTCTATTTGTTTCTTGTGGTAAATATTATCTTAGATCATCTTAGACTCAGTAGTAATGAAGTAGTGATTAACCAGTTATGGCATCAATTTCTCTTTTAGGATAATATTGGAAGGATATTTCAGAGATATGGGAAATATCATTCCATATCACTAGAAAAAAATTACAAACGTCCTAATTCATTGGTGGCGTAAGTTGTAACTGTTTAAATCATTTTCTTAAAACTGTTTTCTGCATTTTAGAACAGTAAAGCATATAAGATAAAAAAAGCATTTAACTTAATAATATTATAACTTTTTCATACTGCATGTAAGTCAATTTAGAAAGATATTTACACAGAGCAATATATAAAGCTTTGACTTTTTGACTACCACAGTACGTATATGCAACTGCATTTTGTCTTCATTTTTGCAAGTAAGAAAAAATTCCAAGTAGATTTATATAAAAATAACTTTTTAAATATAATTTTATGCGATGGCAAATGGAAATACCCTTTAATTATCACCTTACAATTTTGTTTTAATTCTTGGTTGTTGTTTTGGTGATCTAAAATAATGGTAAACTCTCTTTTTGTTGTACTTGTTTTGGTGTTTGATTAATGGCAAAGTTTTCTTCTCTTTCAGTACAATCTCTTTCTATGAACAAAGGGAAGCTTTGTGTGCATGCTCAGAGATGAATGGGAAGTTAGTTGAGGGAAGAAAAATATTTGTGAACATGAGAAGACAAGACAGGTGGTTTTTAGATACAGCTAACAAATGATCTTGAAATTTCTTTCAAGGCCTGTGCCATAAATATTTCAACCAACTGGTCACTTGTCATGTATTTAGTGCACAAACCTTGATTAATTAACAGAAAGGAAGTTTTGAAAAATATCATAATAAGTACTAGACTCTCAATATAGTTTTGGTGATGTCATTATTTTTAATTAACTCAATTTATGGTTTGTTTTTTATGTAAGAAGTTGCATGGTTTTTTCTAACCATCCTTTTAGCAAAGTGTATTGAAGTATGTATTTATATTATGTGATTTTTTTCTGCTATCTTTGTGTCTTTCATTAAGATCCAGTGACTACGTTGACCACAGTATGGGGGATGGCAGAGACTCAGGTACAGGCTTTTAAAAAATACATTAATAACAATCTTTATTTTCTTAGCACTTACCTCATTATTGCTGTGGAAATTTTGAGCACATGTTCAGAGATCTTAATTTTATGACTGTTGGTTATGGTCAAGTTTCCTGCTGAAAGTCATTACCCAATTTTTATACTTGACAGTTTCGTGATATATCCAAAGCAAATAAAATGTAATAGTGTTTATTACCTTCTTAATGTCTCTGAACTAGGCAAACTGTAAGCATATCTCCACATGTCTTTAGAATTGTTATTCTGTTGCATGTCTCATTACTCAATCTTTTCAATCCGCAAAACTTATCAAAATTTCATATACATAAATTTATAATCATAAGAATTATATTTCTCTATTGTATTTATGGTGCTTTTACTTTATAAAATAGAACTATAGAGTAACCTGCTTTTCAGTTTTGTTGCTACCACTTGGTGGGAGTTTTTCAATTTAAAGAAATTGTGACTGAAAAATGCAGTATCTGTAAAATTCACAATTTCCCCCCATTGAAAAGCTCTAGTAATTACCATTATATCAGAATACACTGCTGAAAATGGTGTAGTGTTAGCATTGGAATACTAATGAAGGTTAGTTTTTAGGGTAAATTTTAAAATGTATTTCTAAACATTTCAGTCATGAATAATAATGTTGTTGGGGAGGTAAGTACTGATATGACAGAATAAGTAAATTTATTGTAGTTTTTTGAAACACCTACAGTGTCTCTTGATACTGTCTTCATTTGTTGTTTTTCTGGGACAAATCTTTATTTTTGTACCAGGTTATGTAGTGATTTAAAAAGCAGGTTTTGTAGCAAGGAAAAAGACATAAAATATGACATTCATTGATTATAAGTTGGTAATTTTCAAAGAATAATAACACTTATATACAGTCAGTATGACCTGGTGGTATATATATATATATAACAGATATTCTTTTATATATGTATTTTCTGTTTTCAAATGACGTTTTGGCCAAGTTGTGAGAAACAAAAGCTCAAAACAGACATCAATATAAAAAGTTTTTTTTTTTTATTCTCCAGGGTATCTTGCTTGTGACCCACTGTGATGGACCGTGTACATTTTGGGCTCAGTTGATGTCCCAGGAAAAGACGGAAGAACTTTTGAGGATCACAGAGGCTCTGCTACACATGAATATCAACACTTGCAAATCAGTACAGGGACCTCCTCATTTTGATAGGGTGAGGGGTTTAAGTAAACTTACTTGTTCTTTTTATTGAAATTATTTCAGAGACTGGTTCCATTAAAGAACTTAGGCTGAATGACCGGCCTGAACTTAAAAGAATATATTTATAGTATCACATTGACGGAGGATTACTCAATGGCATTTTAACATAAATGTCATATTGTGCCTTTTTAGGCTTTGTTCACATGCAATGTCTATTTTCTAAATTCTATTTTCTATTCGCGCTATCTTATGANGGGAGGTGGTCAGTAATTCCAGTATTGTGGAGTTGTCCCCCCAATGGTCCATGTTACCATCCCATGCTGCCAAGTATTGTCTCTATGGACTGACTGCTGCCTGCAAAGACTCTGATGGGGAGAGATATGCCAAGGTGAAATCTTAACAAGAAATAGAAAGCAGAGGGAAATTAGTTTTAATTATGTTTATTTGAATCATTATTTGATTTTATTTTGTTTATTCCTTTTCTCTACCTAGAGAAAATTTGTGATTTATTAAAGAGCAGCACCAATTATTGAGTACTGATGTGGCTTATATTTTCAGTGGAAACAATACTAAATCTTTAAGACTAACATTTTTCAACTGATTAATTCTTAAAAACAGTACAAGTATCTTTTAAACATTCATTGCTTAAAATAATTTATATGGTCATTAAAAAGGTAATGTCATTGTTGGTACTTATTTTGCAATTTTTACAAATTATTTAGTATGTTATCCATTTTAAATGGATTTTACACTCAAGTATAATAATAATTTTAAGTAACAATGATGACTTTTTTTGTTGCAGGGCACCAGCTATTTGAAAAGTCAAACTGATGGTCAATACCTCCAATGCCAAATGTACCCACAACAGGATGGGATCACTCCAGTGAAAGTGAACATCAATGGAGTTGATCTCAATGCCGAAGTGCTATGCCAGGGGTTTGTCATTGAGACAGTGCCCGCTAAGACTGCTCCGTCTGCTCTACCTGCTCCGCCTCCTCCACGTGGTAATGGTGCCAAAGGAGGACCTCCATATGGTGATGGTGGTAGTGGGGGACCTCCACGTGGCGATGGTGCTAAAGGAGGACCTCCATATGGTGATGGTGCTCGAGGTATACCCTCATATGGTGATGGTGGTAGAGGAGGACCTCCATATGGTGATGGTGCTAGAGGAGGACTTCCGTATGGTGATGGTGCTCGAGGTGGACCTCCACAAGGTGACGGTAGAATAGGACCTCTACGTGTTGATAGTGGTAGAGGAGGACCTCCGCATGGTGCTAGAGGAGAACCTTCACATGGTGATGGTGCTAGAGGAGGACCCATGGTATTGTCACACACTGAGCAGCAACAACAGCATATTTTCCCCTCTCATCCTTCCCAAGCACTAAGTTGCCCTTCTGACAAAGATTCCACAGATTCTGTTGTTCCAGTTGAACGGGATCCACGATTTGACGCCAGTTCTTCTGTGAAGATAAAAGAATTGGAAAGCACTCTCACAGCTGTTACAGCAGAACGAGATGCTGCATTGTTAGAGCTGTCTAGAGTCAAGGGAAAAGGAAAGGTGATTGCCCCTTTTTTGTTCTAATCCACAATCTGTACAATACGAAGACTTCTCAGTTTGCGCTGTAGTAGTAGTTATGTAAGTAATGATCTTTTTTATAAGAATTCAAATCTATCGAAATTGTGTATGAACTTTCATTATTAGTAATTTTTAACATTTTCTTCAATTGGTTCACTGATCTTTTGTGATATTTTCATTATAAAATTTAGTCACTTTTAGTTGCAAGAAATTAATATGATTATATTTATTACTGAAACAGGTCTTGCAGTTGGAAGTGGACTCGCTGACAGTAAAACTGGCAGAAACCAACATCAGCCACAAGGTTAATTTGCATCACACATGTCAGGGGATACAATTAATATATCAAGAGTAATCTTATTTGAAGGTGCTTGGAGGATAAAATGAGCATTTCAAGGGGTAAAATGTATCTCTTCTTTTTTTTTTCAATATTTGGCATTAGGTGTGACACTGTGAATTTGTTTTTACTGTTATTGTGAATGACAACACTATTTTGGGTTTCCAGATGAAGAATCTTGTGGAAGGTATTAAGAGGGTAAAACTATTCAGGTAAGAACATTTTGAGCACATTTGATTTGTACTAATTTTAAACATTAATGTACAGTAATTGTTAACTACATATTATCTGTCACTTGTATAGCTCAGTCAGGTCATTCTTAATTAAAACAATTTCATAGATAGGTTCATACAGGTCCTTTTTTGGGCATAACCTTAAACAAATTAATGCAGTGGCTGTTCCTTTTGTATTTTCTCATCCTATTCATGAGAAAAGAAAGTGATATTGTGCCCCTGATGGGTTGAGGAATGGATTTGCCTTCAGTAAATGTGACTGAATTGTGGTTAAGGCTGGATATATACTCTCTAACTTTAGGTCCCAGTTCCCCACAGATGACCATACGGATGACCTTATTGAAATGGCCATTGGTCTCATTACTGACCACAAGAACAAGATCACAGTGACTGATTCCACCATGATCACTATGGTCAAGGAAGTGGAGGCCCAATATAGAGCTTGCCAGGCAGTTATCAAAGACTGCAAACACAAGGTCAAGGCATCATGATATGAAAGTTGATCTTTGAGCAACTAATTCTTTCCCATTCTCTTTATCTCAAGATGCATTACATTATTCAATGAAATGATTTAATGAGTATTTTTTTCAAAAGCTGATAAATCCAAAAAAGTTGTGCAAATGTGCAATTAATAAGAATATGCAAATGTAAAATGTTTTCACAATTTTTCCCAATAGAGCACTTGTAACATGCTTCTTATTTATGAGGAGCTGAATTTGTCATACATTGATAATGTAGGCCTCAACTTTATTTCTTTTTATTTTTATTGTGCACAGGTAAAGTGTGCCTGCACATAGAGCCATCCCCTGTGTCTGTCGTCTGTATCAATATCTCTGATGTGGTATTGCATCAACATTGACAAATACCCTTATTTTCTGCTTTGTGTTGGTACATTTGACAGTTTTGCTACCCTGATTTTATCATTGTCTCATTTATTTATTTATTTATTTATTTCTTACAGGAGGAATTGCCAGGTTTAGTAAGCCAGAGAGATGAATCTCGTGTGGAACTTCACAGGAAACTGACAGCATTCCTTGAAAACACATCAAAGCTGCCATTGCAAGAGAGGGAGGAAGAGTTGATGGTATTTTGGTCCATTTACAATTAAGATATGAAAGAAAAGTAAAAAAAATTGGTACAAATTTGGTAGAAGTCAAACTATGAAATTTTAGGCACTTGTAATATATCCACACTTTTGCCATAATATTTATGCTTTGTATAACAGCCCTTGCTTTTTATTTTAGAACATTTTGTCAAAGCTGCAGGCCACATATGGAGATTTTTTGAGAGAGAAGTTAAGCAAATTGCCAGGGTTTACCAGAGCTGTGGAGGTGTACAGGGATTGGAGGGTAGGCCAGCAACACTTTTTTGATTAGCATTTGTGTTAGAGACAGTACAATACATACTAAAATACAGAGGAATTTTATGCATTTGTAATGGTTGGCTTTAGAGTTGTAAAATTCTTAACGTTTGGGCTTTTTTAATCCAACCATTACTTCAACCATACTTAGTTTACAAGTGCAATTGCCAATCTATTCTCTGTTCTTTGAAGGCCAAGAAGAAAGCCACAGTGTCTGACATGCGCACAGCCACCAATACTTGCCACAACTCTGTGAGCAGTGCTTTTCAGATGCTGCAACAGGTACAGAATTCATAAGTGGTCAATGTCTAAAAGTGCCCTTTCAGTTGTGTATAGGCTAGTATATCACATATACATGCATGTACACATTTGTCCCTGTCATAATTGACACGGGCATGGGATGGGATGGGAATGTGGTAAAGCAGTGGTTATATTTTACATTTCAGCAAATAATGTTTCATTTCATCCAGTCAATCCATTTAGCACTGAGGATTTGTATCATAATCCTGCCCCAGGAAAAATGAGAACATTTGTGATCAGACCCATTTAATCAGGCCCAAAGCCATATAGGTTGAAAAGTCAAGAGGCAATCGAACCATGCCTAGCTGCTATGAAGGTCTAGGGGCAAGGCCTAGGACATCAGTTGTGAGATTTATAAGACTTTGGGGTGATTCGGGCCATTACAAGCTTTTAGCCTGCCTCCTGCTAGCTGTTGGTCAAGTTGTAAAGCATATAAATGGCTCTTTGAATGAATAGAGAGAACATTGAAAGTGTAGTGGACAAGGTGTTTGCATGCTTAATGCATATTTTTGTACTTCAAACTCAAAAATTTTATGTTTTATTTTGAACCAACATTCATATTATTGATTGCTGTGAGGGTTCCAGGTTTTTATCGTTTCCTATATGAGATTTAATTAATATATATTATATATGATTTAATTAATATATATTATATTATATTATATATTAATATATATATAATATATATTAATTAAATCATATCATCATCATAATATATAATATAATATATTATATATTAATATATATATGATTGCTCTTGTCACGTAGCAACTCGAGTTGGACAGTTCTTCGTCCAGTGAATGTCCCTCTGGATTAGTCAACCTTGACACCCTGCTGTCCAGACTAGAACACAGGATTGCCGAAGAAATCAAAGTCTCAGATTGGGTAAGTTTTTTCAATATTTCATTTAAATATTTAACAATTTCCCAAGCATTTGCATTCCTAATCCTAACAATATGCCACACCTGTCATGTTAGAATGATGCACTATGTTTTTTTTTTTTTTCTTCGCTTCAATCAGTTGGTACTTGTAAATGATTGCTAATCAAAAAGGTCCTGTTAAACAAAACTGAAGTCTTAGACCCTGTTCACATGAAAAATCTATTTTCTATTTGTGATATCTTGTGATCACACCGAGCGCAGCCGAGAATTAATTACAGCTTTGGAAGTAACTGGCTCGCGCTGCCAGTAATTACGCTACGGGTATTCAGGGCACAGACTGTGATCACAAGATACCACGAATAGAAAATAGATTTTTAGAAAATAGATTTTTCATGTGAACGAAGCCTTAGTATAATATATTGTAAACCCAGATTTAAGATTTGTGTGAATATTATCTCAACAGGACATTAAGTGATCCTCATCATAAACTTTGCAGTAGCTGTTCAGGGATGCTAGTTCTTTTTATTCCAGGAGCATTCCCCAGATGCCACAGTGGTGAGCACGATACTCCAGACTCTACTAGCTGCAGTGGAGGAGGAAAAGAAAGACATTGCCAAGTTGCGTGAGATGAAGTCGTACTACTCTAAGCTTCTGTATGACATAGAGCCTTGGCTCCTCAATAAACCAAGTGTGGAGGAGTTGACAAGAGTGAGAAAGATGATAAAAGCCCTAAAGTCCAGACTTCGTCACAAGATTGCAGATCTTCATGATCTTGAGGATGTTAGTATTTGTAGTCACAGTGGATTCAGCAAAAATGACATTAGTTTCGTTTTTACAATACCTCTTTTTCAGTGCCTTATAAATTCAACATATTAAAAATATTCATCAAATAAGAATACAGAGATGATTTTCTTCTTTAATTGAAAAAAATTTGCCTCACAAGGTGCTTTCTTTTTTTACTTTCAAGATTTTTACAGGTCTATTTGATTTCTAAAATAGTGGTGGTTGTGTCCTCCAAAGATGTTTTTTCTTTTCAAATTTACTAGTCCCACAAGAATTTTCTTTTATCATTTTATCCCTATTTTTCAAAATAGTTTTCACTTCGAGATCTGCATCACATATTGGGTATGATTGTGTTCCAGAGTGACGAGAGCCAGGGAGATGAGTTACCTACACTGCACAAACAGCTGGCAGAACTGAGACAACAACTGCATCAGGCATCAACAGAAGAGCAAGAAGAACTTGTAAGAGCAGTTTGATATCTTATTACATATAGGGAATGCCATTATTAATCAGAAAATGCCAAAATTAGTAGTCAAGCTAGTTGAATTTACATTTTTTTCTAAGTTACGAAATTAAATTTTGTAAACCCTAAATGAAAATTTATCTTGTGATTTGAAATATATTGGGCATATTTTTCTTTAGTCCATATTATTTTTGATCATTCAGAATTTTAACCAAAATGTTTCTGCAATGTTTCATTTTAGCTCTCCAGGCAACATATTTTAGTTTTATTTGTCACTTCATAAAGACATTGTCACTAGAACCTGTTCAGTGTTTTTAAATTATTTTGTCTTTTTAGGCAATACTAGCAGACTTGAGCAAGAACAGTTTTCCAGAATTGAACTTGGAATACCCAGACTTTGGTATTAAAAATTATTTGGTAAGTTTTCCAATGGCATACCTTAGTAAAAGACAAGGCATTTCAATTTGAAATCTGCAAAGATTAAATACACTGTATCTCTTGTGCCATTAACATTGCGATTTTAATTTGCCCAAGTGGTAATTTTATCCATTTTGTATCATTTTCATTGTGCTACAGTAAAAAGCACATTCTCAGTATTTGTTTTCTTTATGATATTATTATTAAGTAAAACTTTGCTTAACCTCACAACACTTTTTCAGACTGCATTTTTTAATACGAGACATAACTAATTAAAAATAGTAAGTTTTGCATTTAACATTTTANATAAACCAAGTGTGGAGGAGTTGACGAGAGTGAGAAAGATGATAAAAGCCCTAAAGTCCAGACTTCGTCACAAGATTGCAGATCTTCATGATCTTGAGGATGTTAGTATTTGTAGTCACAGTGGATTCAGCAAAAATGACATTAGTTTCGTTTTTACAATACCTCTTTTTCAGTGCCTTATAAATTCAACATATTAAAAATATTCAACAAATAAGAATACAGAGATGATTTTCTTCTTTAATTGAAAAAAATTTGCCTCACAAGGCGTTTTCTTTTTTTACTTTCAAGATTTTTATAGGTCTATTTGATTTCTAAAATAGTGGTGGTTGTGTCCTCTACATAACATGCTGAGATTGATTTTACTCCAAAGATGTTTTTTCTTTTCAAATTTACTAGTCCCACAAGAATTTTCTTTTATCATTTTATCCCTATTTTTCAAAATAGTTTTCACTTCGAGATCTGCATCACATATTGGGTATGATTGTGTTCCAGAGTGACGAGAGCCAGGGAGATGAGTTACCTACACTGCACAAACAGCTGGCAGAACTGAGACAACAACTACATCAGGCATCAACAGAAGAGCAAGAAGAACTCGTAAGAGCAGTTGGATATCTTATTACATATAGGGAATGCCATTATTAATCAGAAAATGCCAAATTTAGTAGTCAAGCTAGTTGAATTTACATTTTTTTCTAAATTTTGTAAACCCTAAATGAAAATTTATCTTGTGATTTGAAATATATTGGGTATATTTTTCTTTAGTCCATATTATTTTTGATCATTCAGAATTTTAACCAAAATGTTTCTGCAATGTTTCATTTTAGCTCTCCAGGCAACATATTTTAGTTTTATTTGTCACTTCAAAAAGACATTTTCACTAGAACCTGTTCAGTGTTTTTAAATTATTTTGTCTTTTTAGGCAATACTAGCGGACTTGAGCAAGAACAGTTTTCCAGAATTGAACTTGGAATACCCAGAATTTGGTATTAAAAATTATGTGGTAAGTTTTCCTATGGCATACCTTAGTAAAAGACAAGGCATTTCAATTTGAAATCTGCAAAGAATAAGTACACTGTATCTCTTGTGCCATTAACATTGCCGTTTTAATTTGCCCAAATGGAAATTTTATCCATTTTGTATCATTTTCATTGTGCTATAGTAAAAAGCACATTCTCAGTTTTTGTTTTCTTTACGATATTATTATTAAGTAAAACTTTGCTTAACCTTACAACACTTTTTCAGACTGCATTTTTTTAATACGAGACATAACTAATATAAAATAGCAAGTTTTGCATTTAACATTTTAATTTAATTTTTTTCAAGTAAACATCAGTTTGTTTCTCTTCATTTTTCAGAAGTAAAGCTAAGTTTTTCACATGCCACATATGATAATGGTAAAATAATGGAATTATTTTATGTATAACTACATGTAACTCTCCTCACCAGGATTATGATGGTTTAGTTCTCCTTGGCTGTGACACAACACACTTTGACATGGTTGCAGTGAAGGATAGTGCCACTGTATTTAAAACAACATTCAGTGGTAGAGATGCTGTACTGAGAGTAAGTGCCTTAATATGGATGGAGCTGTTCTGCCTTTTGCATGTGTTTGTGTGTGTGATACTTTACATAAGTAAATGCTACCTGGTTTTCTAAATATCCACATCTATATAATAGGTGAACAAATTACCAAACTGCTTTTTAGGTTTCATAAAGAATTTGACACTTGGAATAGTTGTGTGTTAATTCATCTACTTGCTTTTAATTCATATATTTATATATGATCATTAAAGTTTGATATATTTCATAATTCTGGTGTTGATGTGTATATATTACATGTACATATTTCTGTTTTGTTTTCCTCAGGAGTATATAGTAGGTAGTCATGGAGGGGGAAGCCAAAAAGAGTTCCTGAAGAAAGCAAAGGACTACAAAGCCTTGGGTAGTGGCAGACTGGTGCCTTTGGAAGCCATCTTCTTTCAGAAGGTAATGACAGAGTTTAATGGAGCTGAGCTTCTTTTGAAAAGGTATTGGCATCAGTGACAGTACAAAAGAACTTCAGACCAAAGTTGATCTTAACTTTTAAACAAAAGATTGTGGTCCTCTTCACTTCAGGGTAAATCCCTAGTAGTCCCCTGCAGTAAAGTAATTACTGGTCTTGGACAAAGGGCATTTATTTTCAATTTATCATAGTATATTTTAGATACTTTTGATTTATCTTGGTCCAGTAAAGTAGACTGAAAATATTTTATAACTATTTTCTGCGATACCTTTGTGAAACTGGAATCAGATTAAATTTGCAAGTATTACTCTACAAGTATGTATTCGAGCCCTTGAACAATTTAATATTTTCAAACACCATATCTTCCACTGAAAAAACTTAAAATTGTTATCTATGAGATGCTTCAGAAACCTGCTGGTGATGATCTTTCACCGTTTCAGAATGGGTGCCAGTGCTTTGCCAGAACTCCTTACTATAAATTGAATGCTGGAGGTTTGTCTGCTAAAGGAGAGGCCTCTACAGAGGTGAATAAAAGATATAATAATAATAATAATAATTATTATTATTATTATTATTATTATTATTATTATTAATTTTGCTTAATGGATACTGACAGGACCTCAAAATGCACAGTGCAGTTTTTGTTTAAGGTTTTGATAAGGGTTGTTCTATGTCATAATAATGCTATGTCAAGATTAAGCATATTACATTATGCAGATCAAATCTGTGAAACCTCCTTTTACCTATTTTAAGTGCTTCCACCATGCATATTATCCATGCAGGTTATCTGTATTCATTGACTGAGGATGCAGAAATTAAGACACCAATTCCTTGCTCAGCACAGTTGCAATATTTCTAGGCTTTCTACAAGCTCCTGTATGGTACTCTGGAAGGACTGTGTGTATTACATGGTGCTGGACTGGTGCATGGTGCCCTCCATCCAGAGAATGTCTTCATTGGGGAAGATGGCTATGGTGTCCTAGACTTCAACTGGAGCCTGACACCAGTAAGTGGAGCATCAGTAAGATTATATTAAAGAATACAAGAACTGGATGGGGAAGATTGGCCAATTTTAGTGAAGATGTCAGTCTAGATATTAGGGACCATTCCCACAGATATTTAGATGGATCTATCTCCCTGGGGAGTCTCACTAAATTGCTATCAATGTAATCTGCTTAAATGTCTGACACACCTAGTAAAGCTGATTCAGTAGGTGTGACAGACAGTTAAGTTGATTGCAATTTAGTGAGACTCCCCAGGGAGTTAGACTGATCCAGATGGATCGATCTAGGCATGGGAACCCAGTCTTAGTCTGGGGCAACTGACCATGGCATAGTGTAGAACTATATGAAAATTTGATAATTTTTTAAGTTTTACTGTTGTGTGAGTAAACTGGATTTTAAAAAATGGAATGTTTTACTATAGTCTGTAATTTTTTTTTTCTTGTAAAAGATTGTTAATTTGCATGACTTGCTTTATCTTGTCTTGAATGTAACCCAGGAGGGAAGGGGGTACTTTTGCCATATAATATCTCAATGTTACAAAGATTTAGTAACACCTGTTTTTCCAGGAGCAGCGTGCTGGAACTGTGAAGACATTCTCCAATGGGTTGAAGTTTTGCCCCCCAGAGATGAAGCCTGGTGACCCACCCACCATGCAGGGGGATCTCTACTGCTTTGGACTGCTGATACTTTGGGTAACACATAGATTTTCTCTCTATTTAGGTCTGTTGTTGGATTATAACATGCTGATACTTTTGAGTAATTTATTGATTTTCTATCTATTTGACAGTGATGCAGTGCAAACTTACAGGACTTTCATTACTTAATCCAGAGTTATATATATGTAGTTCCTGTTCAAAAGGTTTTTGTATAGCAAATATGTGTTTTCCAGTGATTTTTTTCCAAACAACTCTTAACATAAGCCTGCTGTAAGTATGTAAGATTTGTACCACCAGTTTTCATCCTATTTTCGTTTCAGCTTCATTTTCCAGAGGTAAACATGAGTGCAGTAGACAGTGATGGAGTTCAGTATATACCTGCATATGGTGTGGTAGGTCAATCACCCCAATACTCAGAAATGAATTTGGGTTGTAAGATAAAAACTAAGTAGACAGAATTGCCTCAATGATGGCCTTACAACTGGGTGGTCTGGGGGCTGTTTGTAAGTCAGAAAACTGTCTTGAAAAATATGAAATTTCCAATTACTGCGGGGAGGGGGGGGGGGGGAGAAACATTTCTGAACCCACAATCTATGAAGAAAAGATATTAACTGTAAAGAGTGAGTAATGCAAGTAACATGGAATTTGTTTATAAAAATTTACAAGATATTTTCTTCTTTTTTCCATATTTTAACTAAACAATTTTAAGATATGGCATTTGGGCATTTAAATAATTTCTAGAATACTTTTGTATGTCTTAATTTTTTATGACAAATTGTTATGCAAAAAAGCATTTGTATTTCAAGTCTTCCCTGGTGAAAATGAATGCTGTCTTTCTGAAATAGTAAATTGAATTTTGTAAAGGTCATATGTAATGTGCCAAGTAAAGACTAAAGACTGCATTCACTATAACATTCACTCATACAATCACCCCAGCAGGCTATAGTTAAAACATGAAGTACATGACAAGATGAGCATATTATGGTATTATATCTTTGGTCCTTTCTCAATGTCACTTCTTGATTATAGTAATAGTTTCTTTAAAACGACAGCTATAAATGGTTTGGGTCATTGTATACCATACTGAAAATCTCTCGACTGAATTTCCTTTGAGTAATTGGTCTTCTGGTTGTTAGACCCCCACCTTGAAGTTGGTACTGGAGGCAGTGCTGCAGAGAAATCCTGCACAGAGAGCTACAGCAGAGAGACTGCTTCAAAGTGACTTTTTCACAGAAACGCCCCTAGTAAACTCTGAGGAATTTGAACCAGAGACATTGCAGCTTAGGTGAGTAAAAATTAATAACTTTACATTTATATGAATACAGATTTTCTTTATTTTATTATATATTTATTTGGTGCCCTGTTGTCAAAAACTTGACCAGCATCAAAGAGTGTATAATGAAGCTCGTAACACTTTTGTGAGAATGATAATTAATTGCATCAGAGTCAACTACTTCATTCTTATTATAGTTTTATGTTATGAAATAAAAAAGTAGCATTGAACAAGACTTTACATTACCAGGCCCAGGGGGTTGTCCCCATCCCCCACCAGTCAGGGAAAGGGAATACTGAAGAATGGGACAGCCAAGCTTCAGAGACCAGAGGTTGTAGAAACTAAGATGTGGAAGTCTGACATAGATGTCACTGCGATTCCCCTGCCTATAGAGAGTGACAGCCAGGAATCCTTTACAGTGAGTATATTGGCTGGTATGTGTTTAGCCTTGTGCAGTGGAAAATTTTAGACTTCATTATAGCAATTTATGGGGAAAAGCACTACTGTACCAGTACAATTGCCTAACGTTTGTGCTTAAGTCTGACATAAAATTGTCTTCATTTGTACAAGTGCCCGTCATTGCTTTAGATTAAAAAGAAAAAGCAAGTGGGAATTATTTTATAGATGAGGAAAATATTGTATATATGCAGGATTTTCTCTTTTTTTATGTTATCCTTAAACTATGTAGAACTAGAGAAGAAGTTAAATTTTATCTTTTTTATTTGTATCTTTTCAGTATTTTTTTCTTGTGGGTTTGTGAAAATGTGATTTAATAACTGTTTAATTACTGAACATGTTTTATTTTGCAATAAGTACTGATTGATTATATAATACCAAAAAGTATGGGGAAGTTTGGCATAGATGCAGTACTACATCTGTGGAAGCTCTATGCATTCATTTATAATATTTATTTATAAGACTTCATAATTCATCTTATTACAGGAACAAATGGATACTGAGCAGATATCATTCAAGTCTGTGGATATCAAAACAGGTACAATGTCAATGCTATATACATGTGTTAAACACACACTCTCTTTTTCTCTCTTTCATTAAGATAGTGTTGACCCAAAGTAATATGCACAGACTATTCCAGCTAGAAGAGTGCTCTTAAAACAAATACATTTAAACTAAACATATTTGCAGTATTTATTAACAAACAGATCAAAAATATGAGATATATCTGAACATTATACTAAATAGTCAACATTATACCATCCTGTATAGTACAAAAAATAGACAAAAATAAAAAATCAAATTATGAATTGATTTAAAGATAAAAAGGAGTGGATACAAAAGTAATATAGCCCTGTTATTGAAAAAATGTTGAATATGATGTCACTTTTCAGAAGAAAACCGAGCAGCAGATGGCAGTAATGTTACACCCACAGGCGATTTAGACATTTTTCCAACCAAAATAGCACACAGAAACTAAAAAGATGGTGAAGAAATATCACATCTGAAATAGCAGTGTCCAAAGGGAACTTTTGGGCCTCATCTTTATATCTGGGGCCTATTTCACAAAAGGAGTCTTATTCTGCTAGGTCACGTTTAAAAGTTCTCTAAATTGCAATCTATTGAAGATTTGTTTTGGTCTTTTAACCAAGCCCCAAGAATAAGTCATGCTCGTCTTGACAATGATTATTGCTCTCATTGGTGGCATTAGCTAATTTAGTTATGTGAGCCAAATTTATTGACGACTTTTGTTCATTTTACACACCAAGACCAATATTCTCATTAGTGAACTTTACATAAAGTTAAATGTACTGGTATATCATTTCAGTGGTTTTGGAATTAGTCTTCCGTTTTTGAAAAAAAAATGTTATATCTTGTTAAAATGCCCTTTGTTATATTAGAACAGGGATATCAACTTGGGATTTTAAAAGTTGATATGTTAAGTTTTTAAGCAAGTTGTAATGTTGAATTAATTATTTTAATCTGGTCTAAATTGCATTTTCCACTCAAGAAGTACATGTGGTTTCCAACTTTTAAGAAGACAACTTTCTGTTGAATAGATTGTTGAAATAAAAATATTTCAGGAACTTGGCAGTTACATTCACTGTTTCCTTCTGCCAATAATAGACCTTTGCCCCAAGATTTTGTATTTGCAAACAGTTCTAGGTCTGGAAAAAATTTGCAAAAGTTTTGCATTGTAAATGAACGTTTTGTACACCAGCTTTGATCTCTACCATAGTACTTAAACATAACTATATGTGCTTTTTGTACCAGTATTTTTTTGTGTGTGTTAAGATTTCATGGTAAAATAATAAAACGTTAGAAAGCATGTTTTTTTTTTATCAAATTAAGTACTTTCCAAAAAGGAAGGAACATTTATGAAGGGTTTCATTTACAATGATGAAAAATGCTAGGAGCCGAATTTCAATAAACCTGTCCTGAAGCACAGAAAGCAAGCAGAAAATATCCTTTCAAAGGGCAATATACAATATCTTTTGCTATTTCTGTAAGTTATACTATTTGAAACTATACGTGAGCATTTGGGTGCCTTTTGTGGCAAAAACTTCAATCGTATCTGTACACATCCAGAGTGGGAGAAACCAATAATGTTCCTAGTAGCTAATAATATGGGTCAAAACTTTTTGCCCATCATAAAATTTCATTTTGATAACTATAACACCACTGTTAGGTTCAGGTTAAGAGACAAAATATAAAAGAATCTTGATTTATAGAGCTTCTCTTCACTGGATTAACTGTTGACATCATGGCAACATCTAAATTGCCTTACATGTTACTAGCTAGTACAAATTTCATAACTAGAACAATGAATCCTCAAAAAGTTATTTCTACAGTATATGATCATCTCAATGCAAGTTAGCAACATTTTAGTCCCCTTTCTATTAGCTTCTATTCACTTTTGAATTAAAACCAACAATTAAATGCTCTGAAGACTTGGGGTGTGTTCAGAAAATAAGACCCCATTCCCAGAAAATAGATCGATTTAACTAGATTGACATAACTCCCTGGGGGTTCACGCTATATAGCTGTCAGCCGAGCAGGCACAAAAGTTAATTACCCCCCTTACAGCTTGAAGTAGTCATGACGGACATTTTAGCCGTATTATCTGACAGTAATCTAGTGAGACTCCCCACGGGGATAGATCGACCTAAAATCTATGAGAATGCACCCTAAGTTATCATACAAGCAGGACAGATCTATCTCAGCAGGTTTCTATTTCCTAGACAACATGAACAATATCATGGACCACTAGTTTTTCCTGAATCTTCCCAAGCACTTTAAGTTATAAGGGGGCATGCCAGGCAATTAGAATCCCCCCCTAAGCTACACTGATCCTGCTGGTATGCTAACATCTATTTTGAACACAGCCTTAGTCCCAGGCAACTAAATTAATTTTTGCTAGTGGTTCAAACAAAACTAATCTATATCACTTCCTTCTAACTCTGCAATGAAAAAAGCCACATATACAGTTTAAAAATTATTTCTGAATCACTGGTGATTAAAAAAAACTGCATTTGGGAAACAACAGAAATGTCCACTTCTGTGTCCATTTGATTAGACTTCTCAAAGCAAAACGTAATTACAATGATCTGATTAAAATCAAAACCAAGTTTCTTGTAGACTTGATTAAGAAAGCAGGTATGCTACTCCTCAAATTGCACTACAAAGGGCTTATTAAACAACAAACTTATCAGAGAATGCAGTGGCTCCATCATAATATCATGGCACTACTAAAACAGTTTAATCAAAGTGTACTAAAAACTCCTTCACCAACATTTATAAAGTGTCTTTTTCAACACATCTTGGGCCCCATTCAGAACAGATGATCCGAGTACCAACTGATCCGCTGACTAAATATGGCAGACCACACTTCAAAAGAGATGCCGCTTATTCCTGACGGCCTACCCAACTCCACACGCACCATTAAATGGATTAAATCTCGGCTCCAAGGTTTAATTGCTAGGCCCCCTGCAGCAATGGCCCATGTGGAGGCAGGGGACCATCAAGAATCAGTGGCCTCTCTTTTGAAGTGTGGTTGGCCACATTTAGTCAGTGGATCAGTTAGTACTCAGGTCACCTATTCTGAATGGGGCCTTATGCTCACAATTGCTAGACATTGGGAGCCAATGTTCAGATGTTCTGCCTACCACTATTATAAGTAAAGCTACATGTACAAGTACACGCATACAACAGAGCCACAGCATGCACCCACACATAAACAGCCATGATATGCATGCAAACACATGTACACAAGCCTAATTACCAACACAGAGTGGACAAATGCACACAAATACACATGCAAATTTAGATGGCTAAAAACTTGAATATCAGTCTTATGAGATACAGTACAAGGATGAGAAGTAACACCTGCACTGAAAAGGCACATGAAATTACCTAACCAAACAAACAATTTGTAACAGCCAATGGAGCTACGGAGTTTCTTATGTATAGTGGTAGCTGAGAATTGCATCATCATAACTTGGTGCCAGTGGCCTTTCATTATGGCTATATTGCATATGCATTGTCACTGGTCTTTGACAAACATCCATTCCTGGTAAATCCCGATGCACAACCTGGCAATAGCTTGGAAATGCAGTCTGCCTTTCATAGTCCACTTCATAAAAGGATGATTGGCATGTGCCAACATTAAGCAAAGCCACATTCTCCAACTGCCTCCATGTTTTGGGCTCAGTGCTGCTCTTTTTCAAAGGCACTTTGGACTCTCCAGAAAAGCCAGCTGATGACTTTGCCTCACTAGCAAACTCAGACAATTTTTCCTGGCCTGCAATCCCACATGAATTTGGTTGCTGAGTTAAACATTTGGTAGACGTGACGACAGTTTGTATCTTCTGACCCTTTGGAGTAGGACTTTCACCACATTTCTTTCTATGTGGAACATCAGTACCCAAATATTTTTGTTCATCAGTGTTCCTATCTGATAACATACTGAACAGTTCATTCTCTCTTCCGAAGAAGCTCATTTGAGGATTTGGCGGCAAGCCCACGTCTTGTCCACAATAATCTATAATCATTTCTTCACTTTCACAGCAGGATTGGAAAGGTTTTTTTCCCTGTTGTAATGTGGAAATGAATCTTTCCTCTGCCTTCCACTCTTTCTGATCACACTTACTTGAAGATAATTGCTTGTCATCATTTATGGCAGTTGACTCTTGGTTATTTTCACCTGGGAATTGTAATACAGTTGTAGTCACAGCATCATTTGGAATTTTAGACTCGGGATCCGACTTTGGTATTGCTTTTTTTCCAAGTAGAGCGTTCATTAGGAATTTCATCAGGTCACTACCACTCCGTGGTTCCTTATCTGACTCTTTGTTTGACAGTGTTTCTGAATCAACCTTTCCACACTTGGCATCAGAAGTATTCACCTCATCGGAAAACACCTCAGATTTCTTGGGATAATTTGGAGGGATCCATTTCTCTCTCTGGGGATATACTTCAGCTCTAGGATCTGCCAGTTTACACTCCCCTTTTGCTTTCAGTGGAATGTACCTTGGAGGGACCTCCTTGCCCCTCAGCAGCGTGCGTCCATGGAACTGACCAGCAGTCTCTGGTGCTGTTCTCCGCACTGCTGTGCCCTCCTTTTCTTTCAAATTGCCAATTTGTAAACTGGGATTCACACCACTGGTTGTGCAACTTTTCTTACTGAATAATCTGCTGGGATTTTTATCCTCCTGTTGGTTGCCACCATTTCCAAGGACAGGGGAACTTATCTGGTGAAGATTAGATTGATTATCATAACCTAAACTGACAGATTCTGAGCCCGAGATTTCCATATCCACCACCTCCAAATTTGTATTGTCCCCAGTGTGGGCCTCTTCTTGCATGCCCTCCTGGAGACTTGAAAGCAGGATATTGATGGTCGTTTGTATGGCAGCTAGATCTGCCTCAGACTTTGCATTTTTCTTTTGTTCAAGCAGCAGACCTATTGTAGACTCTGATCCTCCATAATTTACCTCACAAGCATTAGGTTTGACTGTGCTTTCAGGATTAGAAATTTGCCCCCATGCCACATTTCTAGGGTCTGTACGATGAACAATGGTTTCATGATTAAAAATTTGCTCAGGCACTTCATATCTTGGAGCTGTCCTCTTTCTTGGCCCCCCACTGAGTTGGTCACTGCATCCTGGAGGTTTTCTTAATCCCCCATACTGACCCATCAAAGAGCTTTGTGATGGACCAGCTCTTGGAGAAGGTGGCATACGCAGGCCTGAATGTTTTCCAGCATGCTCCAGCATCACCAAGCTGTCATCAGATTTGTTGTTTACAAGGGGTGGAGTGTGCAGTCCAGGATAGTTTCTTCTTTCAGGTGCTTCCAAATCTTTCTGCGACCTCTCCAATTTGCTCGTAGGTGGTGGACAATATGCTGAATATTGCCTGCTGGTTTCTGCCATTGGAACATGTTTAGGCTTTGAAGGTGTCTGCAACCCATGATTCACAATTATCTCTGGTTCCTTTGGGAACTTTGTAACCAGGCATCTTTCAGATGTATCAGGTGGGGTATGTCGACTAGTAGGAGGGTGGTACATATTGGATGTCCAGTCGAAATTTTTAACAGGCGGTTCCTCAAAATCCCTTCTTTGTTCTGCCATGTATGTTGATGGTGATGGAGCTGTTGGACCCTTTGACCTCAACTCTAAATCAGTCTGGCCCTGGCTTGACACATGCCCATTGCTGGATACAGAACGAATATGAAGAGGCTTTCGATCAAATCTTGTATTGCTTGTATACAGACTCATCTCCCATTCAAACATCTGGTCCTCCTCTGCTTTCAAAGCCTCCTGATGCGACCTGGAAAACACATCCACTGTTTGGCTTCTACATCTGGACTTCTTTCTTCTTTTAGTAAAACCGGTACCTTGGTTTTGTCCACAAGTCTGGTGCAGTGACTTACCATGTGTGTCTCCAAGTTCTTTACCTTGCCTGTCAGAAAAAAGATGCCTAGATACACCAACTTTATGGGCAAGATTCTGACCTTCCTGGTCCACAGGTTTTGCCATTTTCAGACATTCTGCATATGGTTGTTTTTTACCTTGAACTGATCCAATTGTCCCTTTGACATCCTTTATTCCATCCTTTGAATGGCCAGGTACTACATTTTTACTATCTTTGGAATGTATTTGTGCAGAAACTTGATCAGGGAGTGAAATATTTGGCAAATTTTGGGCTGATTGGACATCCACAGCACCTTTTTTATCCACATTATGAAAATTTTGTGTGTCTGCCTGTTTTAATGAAGTACCTGTGTCATAAAATACATCTTCATTCTTGTTTATCCTCTGCACTTTATTCTTTCTTTGCTCTAAAGTATTTTCTGGGTGAAGTTTAGCTACCTTGGCTGGTAAAAGGCCACTTGTGTCCCCAAATTTCTTGTTCAGAGAAGCTAGAAAAGCTGCATTGCTTTCAGCCTCTTCACATTCCTGGTGAACGGTAGCAAAACGCTCAGATAATGATCGAAACATCTTTCTTTTAATCCCAGTATTTGGCACATTTGGTAGCTTTTGACAGGGACTGGTATTCATACTGTTGTTGTTCACTTCTGAAGGCTGCTCTTCACTTATTTCTTTTTTTCTCATTTCTTCAATTTCTGTTGTACTGCTGACCAAATTGCTGTTCTGCTCTGCATCCCTTTTAGACTTCCTCCTCCTCCTTTTCTTTTTCTCTGATTTTACACTTGATTCATTTGCATTTGCATTTTGATCTTTATTCTTTTGTTTCTTTTTTGAAATCTTTGACTTGACTACTTGGTAGAAATGAGATAATTCTACGAAATGAGATAATTCCCTGCCATTTTCCTCTTGGGTTTTCTTGTGACTTTCACTAACCTCATTGCTGATACTCAACTTCTGCTCAGCTACAACATTCGTCTTCTTCTTCCACACACATCTGCTTGTATCTGAAAACTCTTTTTTCACAAGGTCTGCCTTTTTTGTATTAACTTTTTCTATGATTCTCCTCCCAAATCTACTTAACTGGTCAGTTTCTTCAGATCCTTGTCTTTTATGTTTATTGCCAGGCATTTTCTTGTTGAATGGTAAACTGTTATCCCAGCTGCGGCTTCTTTGCAAGGTAGCCTTGGCTGCTTCTGTTTTGCTGGACTGCCAGAATTCCACAAGTGCTACTGGAACACAATGGCTGGGACAGCTTGAAAAACCTTTTTGCTCGCAAAACTCATAAAGGTAAATCTGGAATAAAAGAGACAGTCATATGTGTAAGAAAAGGCAAATGTTTTATGCATTTAAACTCACTACAGGAATAAATTCACAACTCTTGACAGATTTTTCTACCACTAACAATTAAGAAAATCAAATTTGTTATAAAGTAGAGCAACCTGAAATGAAATATTTGTTGGTAAAAAATAAGCTGCCACACCAGGCTGACTGTTTGAAAATAGGGGCCATTATACAGAATGTCAATCACTGAATGAAGTTTAAATAAAAATTTGATGAAATATAATCAAATGAAATAATGAATAAAATCTCACCCTGGATTTATTCACAGCATCCTGAAGCCTATCATTGCAGGAAGGTTTGATTTTAGGGATGTGACTGTGATACCCCAAGGTTGGTTGAACTAAGTCCAGAGACGTCCATCCTGGATTTACATCAACATACTTTGCCCTACCTAACATTATCTGAAATTTAGAGGAAACAATTGCATAAATTACAGTTTCCATATAATTGTTTTAGTAAGAATACTGAGACAAGCATTATANAAGGTTTGATTTTAGGGATGTGACTGTGATACCCCAAGGTTGGTTGAACTAAGTCCAGAGACGTCCATCCTGGATTTACATCAACATACTTTGCCCTACCTAACATTATCTGAAATTTAGAGGAAACAATTGCATAAATTACAGTTTCCATATAATTGTTTTAGTAAGAATACTGAGACAAGCATTATATATATATATATATATATATATATATATATATATATATATATATATATATCCCTCCAGCTAGTAGAAAGATTTCATCTATACACCATCATTATTCACATGATAAAAAATAATCAGATTACTTCTAGCCACTCAGAACATAAAGGCCATTCTTAAATCTTTTCTTTTAATTAACAACCCTTTTCAAATTCATGCCGATAAAATTATTTATTAGTAATACGATTCTTTCCCATTTTCATAGAGATATTTTCAGAAACTTAAAGAAACACTTAAACAATACTAAACCAGCTAATTTTTCACCTTATACACCACCATGTATATTGGCTCGGAATATCTTTGAATTTCTGCCCAACCCTGACACACATCTGAATACTTGTACACCGTGACTCCTTTCGTAGGATCTCCTAATAGGTATTTGCCTCCATTCAGATTGCTCTGTCTAGATTTCAATCCATATGTGCAAATCTTTGTAGCCACAGATTTCTTTTCAATGGAAAATGCATACCACTCTTCTGTTTGCCATTGACTACAGCCCTGAATAAAAAGAGGTTAAACTATGGAAAATGCTGATTTCATCAATAAAGCTGTCAACATTTTAAATTATGATGAAAAAAGAACTGACCTGATACTAACTGGCAATAATCAGATGTTACCAAACAATCAGCAAACAACATTTTACATACCCCAAGACTATGTCTGACAGGATGTAACAATTTTCTTGACTGGCAAATTTATCAAATTGATTATTTGAAAGTAAAGTTGGAAAATCATCCACTTTATAAGTTAATAATAACGATATGAATGTGAACCTTAATTTCTATTTCATGAAGACGATGAGTAGTCTTAAATACAAATGATAATCAAAATTTTCTAGACTCTTAAGCTGTACACTTGAATTGCACACTTTAAATCAGCTATCTTCAACCATAACACTGGGATTTTTTAAATTAGATTCCGAAAAATAATACTAGATATTTTTTCAATACTTTTTTTTAGGACTGTACCCTAACACAGAATTCCGATTTCAGAAATCTTATGAATCTATTTTATGTAAAACCAATGATCTTACAATGACAACAAACATTACTAGACATGAAATTACCAAAGGCCAAAAAATTGAGCCAAGGTCTGATAAATATAATAGGGAGCATTCACATCGAGAAGAGCCGAGGACTATTAAAGGCCCCAACCTATATATGGCGGACCCACATGAAAGGGAAACCGCTTAATCCTGTAATGCATTGTCTCTCCACCTCTCACATGGCTCCCCACGCATCGTCCCTCGACCAGTTGAATTGAGCCAAGATTTAATTGGGGACATGCAGGGACAATACATGGTGGAAAGACTAATGGATTAAGCGGTCTTCCTTTCATGTAGGTCAGCCATATTTAGGTCACGGCCTTACTAGACCTCCGCTCTTCTCGATGTGAATGCTCCCATAACGAACCCTTTTTCTTCATTCACAAAATAGTGAAATGAAAATGGCAAAGGGTTGATAATGATGAACTACTTAAAACTATGCTATTTATATTTAATGGAACTAGTAGGCTTTGACATATTTGATATGATCAAAAGTCACTATACTACAAAGTATCCTTGATCTTTTATGGACTTAAGTATATTATAAATTTTATACATTGTGCACAAAACGAAAATATAACAATATGATATCACCATTATTTGAATCCCAGAAAAGTTTTTTTTCAGAATTCACAAACCTCTGCAATCATTTCCTGTTTCTTGGATTGGAAAATCTCCATAAGATTATCATTATAAACACGTGCCACTTTTCCAACCTCCCAGTTAGACTTCTTCTGATATAGGTAGCCACCTTCAACAATATCTAAGACTTGTCTTTCCTCTGGACTGCCTTTTTCTGTAAACTCAAGCACATCTGAAAAAGAATTTATTCGTGGTTATTATTTTAAAGAGATATAATGCCAGCTGAAACAACAAATGGCACTTTAATTCGCAGTATCCTGTAACCCCCACCCACAGCCTTTAATTCTAAATGTTTATCAAAATAATGTGGTGACTTTGATCATTGAAATAAATTAGATTGGAAAATTCACTCCTTTTTAAATCTTTTTCTACCTTTATCATTCAAACTCTATGGCAAATGAACTGATTTAAACCCTCCTTTGACCTTAGCTCTCCCATTAATAATTTAAAAGAGTTTGTACTTTCTTGTGAGAACGTGGAAAATTAACAAGTAGATTACCAAACACTTATGTTTGAATGTCATAGACACTGATCAAAGTCACCACACAATTAAGAAAGAAATGAAAATCAAAGATTTGTTTGGAGGCTGCAAAAGTACCCAATAATCTTACCCAAATGGCAAGAAAAGAAGATAGAAGAAGAACCATGAAGGTTCCATGGTAAAAGGCCCACTTTTCAGAAAAAGAACCCTCCTTTTGAAATTGCTGGCTTGGAGTCTGATAGCCCATATCAACAAAGTGTAAAAATCATAACTACGCTTGAACCTGTACTTACCCATTATCAAGAAATATTTATTTTGGATACTGAAGTATCATCAAACCCATGTAATCTGAAATGAAAAAGGTTAATATTCCAATATTTTTCTACTGTTCAATAAACAGATCAATGTTTGACTGATATGACTTTGAATGATATAGACTCTTTAGCACTTACATTTTGTTATTAACACTGAAATAAGGATATTTACTGAACTGTTGTGAACCAAGTTAACCGGCATTTCAAAGTTATAAATTTAACTTAACCAACAGCTAGACTGCATATACAGAGGATCCTGCAGCAGACGATAAATATCCTACGCAGGCGATAGTTACAAACAAATAAGAGCTATTTTAAAGTAATAACAACTGATAACAACTTGTCAAGACATGAAAGCAAAATGCAATCAGTCATGAACGTCAGAGCCATCCACACACAAATGATTCGTCATGACCGCAAATCTCTCTTGCAAGTTTTTTATCCAATGGCAAAAAGTACCGAAAGTTAATGTAATGTACTTTTGTTAATCAATTGTATTCTATCACTCCAAACTGTCAAAATATACACCATACTCACATGGCACTGCCTGATCTCCTTGAGCAGAAATTTCATCTTCTGCGTGCACACCACGGGGTGGCAGACGTCACAGCCAATCCTGAGTAGTTGTCGTCTGTCACACCTACCACAATGTCTCATTGTGCTGTGGCACATCTGAACTGAATGCATTTTGTGCAATGCAGTATTTGCTTGGGCTGATATAAGATATATATTTTGGATCCTAGGCTTGGGTAAGGGGATTGGGCGCTGATTATGTGTAGAGTCTACATAACTATTAAAATAATATTAATAGCATAAAAAGGGACTCCACGGTTGTAAAAATAGACAAAATCCTAATGAAATATATCTTTATTTGAATTTCAGTTGTTTTCCAGTGCAAGAGTCAGGGCAGGTGGGAAGTACAGGAGTTTTCAAGCTATGATCTTGTTATTAAAAACGTTTTGGACTAAAATATTTTAAGAGCAACAGTCAGACTGAAAGGGAAGTGATACCAAAGACCTAACATATAATCACCACTCATTTCTTTTTTCTCATGAAACATCTAATTCCAACTCAAGCTTCAAATCTAACGCCAGAGGTATGACCCCCAAAAGCCAACAATATTCTTCTTTATTCAAGATGACCTTGTAAATTTACATACAAGAATGTACAATTTTCTCTACAGATAAAAATATATATTCTTTAAAAATCATCCTATTAAAGGATATGAAAGGTTTTATTATAAAAGCAAGTCATTGTGGGAGTCCAAAGAGTTGGGTGATACTGCATTTTTTCTTTTCCATATGTGTAAGTTCTGATACAGGTTCTTCTCATGTTTCATGAACTCAATATTGTAAACTGATCCAAATTGGGGTGATATAAAAAATTAACCTTCCTTATCAATATCCTCCATCAGCCTTCGCCATACACATATAAATCAAATGGTCTCAATGGAACAAATTTACCCAAAAAATCTTACATGCATCTATCTTTTATGCAAGAAAATGCAATGTTCATCATCATCATTAATTTTTTGTATAACATAACATATTCATGAGCCATTTCATTGCCTGTCTTTACATTTCAAAAATCTCCACACAGTATGCTTTGGTTAGGTGCTGTCTACTTCTTCTAAGTCTTCTTTCTGCATCTGTTCTATTATTCTTTTTCTTTCTTCAGCTTGCCTCATTCTCATAAGCACTACACTTTCAAAGTCTCTCTCTTTAGTAGGAGGGTTCTGTAAGTTGTAAGATTTAGAATCTTCTTTCTGTGCACTTTGCTCCTCTCTTTTTCTTCCTTGCATGTGTTTCATTTTCAGCAAAACCTGACTTTCAAAATCATCCCCAGTGGATTGTGAATTCTGGAATTGAAATGGGAGAAGTAACTAGAGGATCAGAGAGGCAATACTGCCTCAGGATATTGAAACACCAGCTGGAGTAAGCACATTCTTATGGACAGCAAAGAAAAAAAAAAGGGACACCACCAAGTGTTGTGCTTGACAAGCTCTACAAAATGCAAAATCAAGAGTTCTCAAAATATGCTGAAAAAAGCAAAAAAAAAAAAAAAAAAAACAGCATAACTTTTGTAAAAATGGTTCAATCAAGCTGATTTTCAAACTTTACCTGTATTTTCGAAAGACTGATCACTCCTGTGATTTTCAAGACAATAGGCCTATTGATTATTTTTGAAATGTGTTATTAGTATTGCAAATGTGCTAAAAAAAGAGAAAAACAGCATAACTTTTGAAAAAATGGCCCAATCATGCTGATTTGTGGACTCGACCTGTATTTTATGAATATTCATCAGTACCATAAGTCTGAAGACAGAAGGTTAAACAGTTTTCCACTTATTGTGTTATCACAGAAAGTGCAGGGCAACAGTGATGGCAGACGACTACAGCAATGACAGATGAAGGTGATGGCTATATCTAATAAAAACAGTGTACTTTACAAAAACTTGTGGCCCATTTGACCTTGAAATAAAGGTCAAAGGTCAAATCCAAGGGCATATTTGAAATCTCCACATTCGATAAGACTTCTGTAGTAACTTTTCCCATAATTTCTTCAGTTTAGGAGATATTTAGAATTTAATTTTCAAAAATTTGACAAGGGTGCATTTCAACGAGCGCCACACCTAGGCCCATGCACTGACTGAGATAAAAAAAAAACGGGGGTTCAAGTTGAGATTATATGTGACCTATATCCCAGAGATGGGGGACACATGCCCTTGCGGTCTAGGAGGAAAAGCAGTGACAGTGACTTGTATCCGGTGCCAGAATGCAGAGACAGCAGAGCTGTATGAAACGAATTGGGACTAAAACTATTAGTACAGCCAGCATACGCTGGTGGTACTAATTACAGGTAAGCAATGTGCTTAAAATATTGAGCTCTATCTCCCTCCTTTCAAACTTTCATTTTTTTATTCATTCTTTAATCTGTTCATCAATATAGTAATAGAGATTTTTAACAATAAGAGGTTACATGCCAAAGTAAAAAAATCTAAAAATACAAAAAGAATTTCTTACAATATTAAAAACCTTGCAAATATGTAAAATAATCTATCATCAACATTTGTATAGACTTCATATTTGACCATTAATATTACTGCCAGGAAATTATTTTACTTACACTGGCGGAAGCAAAATGATCTTGTTCCGAGCTATGCTCCATCTCTGTGGGTTGCCCAGACAACCAAGTCAAGGTCAAAGGATTGGTTGGGTTCCCAACTTCATTCTGTACAGCTAATAGCTATGAAGTATAATCAGAAAAGATCAAACACAAAAAGATGAATGGATGCATGTGCATTTTAATACCAACAATTACAAATAAATAATGTCATATTCAAATGCTCTGGCTGGGATAGGTTTTATAACTATTATTAATAAAATAATCTGCTTATATGGACAGATTTACATCAGTTACATAGTTTTAAGTAATTTAAAAATTAACAAGAAGGCATATTACTTTATCCAGATTAACATGATTTGAAATGCTAATAGGACAACCACTCTAAACAGAAATCTGGTTACGTACAGCACTGTGTGCAGACTTGAACTCAACAATGGCACTGCCTTTCTTTTTATTTGAAACCAAGAGACAAGTAACTTCCCCATGCTGAAACAATAAAATAGTTTTATCAAAAAACAAATTTCAGTTAAAATTCACAATTTTATGTGCAAACAATGGAGAAGACAACAGATATGGTGAATCAAAATGCTAGTATACTGATATAAGCACACTGCAACTGGTTCTTTTAAACCTTCAGAAGGGCAATTATAAACAATAAAGAAACCTTTCTAAAAAGTCTGTGAAGTTTCATTAATGTTAAGCATAAAAATGCAAAACAAACAATATTATGCTGTAAGTGATAATCTTAAACCTAGGCATCAATGTACCAACAAAATGAAAGGCTATATCAAATCAAATTGTTAACTACGACTGGGTTCCCATCCCTAAAGCGATCTAACAGGATCGGTCCATCTCCACGGGGTCCCTTGCTAAATTGCTTTCAGCCCAAGCGGCTTAGACACCTGGAAGGCCCACTAAAGCTGCTTAACGATAGTTAATTACCCCCTTTCAGCCTCAGCAGGCATGACTCAATCTAAGCTGCCCAAGTAAATTGCAATTAAACGAAAATCCCTTCGGAGATAGTTCGATCCAAAGTTAGTACCATAGTCTCTGGGAATGGTCTCTACTATTTTATAGTTCTGTTACCTATGCTGGCAATTGAATTAATATTTAATCTTAACTTACCTTTTTAAAAATATTATAAAGATTATCATATGAGTACCCGCCATTACCGTCATCATTTTTCTTTGACTTCCATTTCACCTGAAACAATCAGGTTTAAAAACATATGTTCCTCTCTCAAATTTTCTATAGATTAATAAGGCAAAATCAATCATGGTGTTGTTCGTGAAGAAACAACCTGAAAAAACATACATACTATGAACTTTACAATATTTTCATCTGAGTCATTTTCATCAATTGTTTACATATTCTGAAATATCTTTTTTTTTTTTTGTTTGCCACATTAAAATCAAATGACTTCAAGGAACTTCATAACTACATAATCTATGAAGAGTAAAAATTAAGACACATGTAAATAAAATAATCCATGATAAAACAATTCATGTAGGCTGAAGAGTAAAATATCTGTTACACATCATGTGCAGATATTTGGTGTTATTACTCCAAGAGTGCAATACGTAGCAAACCTTTAATTTTGGCAATGTAGTGTCTTCCGAGTTTTCTTCTGAAAAAATGAAAAGCAAATGGAACTTAAATACTTTGTTAGACATAAAATGCAACATCACAATGGGTCACTTATCAGAGAAGGTAGAAAAAAAACTCTTTCACATACTTCATGGTTTTCAACAATTTTCTATTTTTCACAAATCATACATTTTGTTTCATAAAACAAAATCATGGACTGTATTCTTAAGTTAAATTCTCATTTATATACTTCAAAAAAGGGGGCTTAAGACATTACAAGCATGCTATTTTTAAAAAATCCTTCCTGTATGATTTTTTCTTCAAGTACCAAATTTTGGGCAAAAGAAAATATCTTTAAAAATCACAAAAACATCTTATCTCCACGAAACAGACAACAGTTCTTAGTATCATCCATAATTATGTTTACCTTTGTATTGTTCTTTATCTTGCTTGTGGATTTCTTCTCGAAGCCTGACTTGTTCATCTTCTAATAACCTAGAACCTTCTTTCCTTAGCCTTTCTATCTGAAAATAGATATTTTCTTGACTCAACCATATTAGCACAGTACAACAGCCAGTACAGTGACTGAAATATCCATGGGTGATGTGACCCAAAATAAAGACCTTACTGGCCAAAAAAGCCTATAATATTTTGTCTAGATGAGACATTCATGCCATCACAATTTTGGGCAAGTATATACAAGATTCCATTACTCTTGATATCAAGGTGTCTTGAAACTTTTATTCAACATTTATGAAATCATAAATGACACATTTGATATGTGTAAACTCTCAATAAAAGTCTAGGTTTGTTGTTTGTTCATCTGCTGAGAAAGATTTATAAGATTTATTTACATCAAACTAAGAAATTAAATCAATATACCTCAGATTCATGATGCAATTTGCTACAATACTTGCAGGTCACTGTTTCAAATTTCTATGTAATCATATAATGTTTCAGAGGCACTTATATTTTCCCTCATTGTAAATGATTAACTTTCCAAACATGTTCAAATAATTGTCCAACAGGGAGCCTCACTTTAATACACACACACATGTATATGTAGAGAGAGACACAAAAAGCAAAAAGATGTTACCTCTGCTTGCAAATTTCTGGCAGCTGTGGCATCTGCTGCCTTCTGTAATCCTGCAGCACTTTCCCTAGCCTCCAAATCTATTAAGATAAATATACTGCTTTCAATATTTTAAAACAATTAAAATAACTTATGTAAATTCTATATCTTTTAAATACTGAATCTTTTGAGACAAGTACACATTATTGAATCTGATATAAAGTTTGAGCAGCTGTGTTCAAACACTCTCCTGGCACCAAATGTTTTTAGAAGAAATTTTGTTCAGAAACTTGAAAGAATGATCCAATATATTAACTCAAGATTACTACAAATATCTTTACTTGAATGATGTAAATTATGAAATTAGACTTAATTTTTTCACTTAAGTCAACAATGTTTTTCGTACAGACACAGTTACAATTGGCACTAAAAAAAATATTAAAAAAAAAACACATAAAAAATACTTGTGTCTGGATGCAAAAAATGCAATCCCCAGTAAATTGTAAAGGGGCCTGCACACGCTGAGCATTTGGTGCGCACCCCTTGCACTGCGCTGTTTTCTCATCATCTGCGGGGGTATTTTGGTGAGATTTTTGCCTCTCGCGCGGCTGAGCAAAATATCTCACGTGTTTGATATTTTTGGTCTCTTGAGGCAAATGTCTCAGCGTGTGCGGGGTGCAAGCGCCGATTGCTCATGCCATGCTAACAATGCGCATGTGCCAGTAGCCGGAAACAAACAAAAATGGCAGCCCCCAGCGAAGTCAACAAAAATGTACACAGTTATAGTTAGTCTGATTGATTAACGTGGTCACCATTTTCCATTACAATCAGAATAAACAACAATATGTAATGTCTCCTTAAACACATGATCCCACAGTTCACAGTGCATCCGCTAGGGGCAGGCCGGGAGGCACCTCTGCTGAGCAAAGAGCGCAGCGTTTGCGGGGAGCTGAGGAGCGCGAGCATCTGGCTCAGCGCAAGTGGCGCGCACCAATTGCTTACCGTGTGTGGGGTGCTTAAGCTAAACACAAAGTAAGAAGATAAAAAGGTTTGTCTATGCCATGATTAATATATGTGATATGTATACTGACCTTCCTTGAATTTTTTTCTCTTGCTGTCCAGCAATTTATTTCTTTCTTCTGCTGCTTTTTTAGCCTTGAGGGTATTGTCATAAGCTGCCTTAAAATATATTTCATATTCTTCTATCAATATCTAAAGATGGTCACAAATTCTTTTGTGACACTTTTACATGAATTAGGTTAACAAATTATTCAATGAATATTTTTGAGTGTAATAGAATTTCAAAAAATATCAATTTACATTTTATTGACACAATATTGCACTTTTGTGAAAATTATATTACAAATATTCAAAATTCTTAAAATGTATCTAAAAGTATTTTTTTGCAAACAAAGAGTACTACTACTACTTAGAAACTAGAATTGAAAGTGTCTTACTCTTGCTGCTGCATCTGTCAGAACTTCTAGTGCTTTAGACAACTGATGAAAGAGTTCAGCTAAAACAAATGTTTAACACATCCAATAAATGTCTATTTGGTATCTTTATGGTCCTGACCATAAAAGTTAACAAAATATAACATTTTTAAAAATGGTTTTTAATAAATATAAAAAAAGATCTTTTGCAATTACAGAATGAAAATATATATAATATATATCAGGATAATACCCAATCACAATTCTTATCCAATTATTTGAAGTGTGTCATTTCTAAAGGTGCATACCTGCTTGTGGGTTGTCTGGATTTTTGTCTGGATGACACTTCAGTGCCTTCTTTCTGTAAGACTTCAATATCTGTAACACAGGCAAAGAAGGATAAAGCAAAATAATATGACTGATTAACTAACTAGTTAAGTAAGTTAGGCAATGTGCAACTATTCTTAGTTTGCTTTTGTTTTGATCGCTTAACGTTTTTTTTAAACTCAAAGACATTTGTACATATTCTCCTTGCAAAAATTAAGCATTTTTACAAAACAAAAAAGAGGGGAGGGGGCAAAATATGTATTTCAACTATTTATACAAAATCTTCAAGTATCACTTTCAACTGTGTATTGTGATGTTACAAAGGTTGATTTATTTGTTCAGCACTTAAAGATTTATCAAGGTGACAAATCCACAGACCCTACTTGACCTGTGTTCAAGTCAAGTCAGGTACTTTCCCCAAAAAGTAACACTATGGTTGGTTTATCAACTTAAGAGGCAATTTTATTGAATTCGTTTCAAACTTAACAGATTTCGAGCGGTTTTATTTATTCTTTTCTTTCTTTCTTTCTTTCTTTCTTTCGTTCTTTCTTGTTTTCTTTTTTTATTTATTTTGCGTTATGGTAGACTAGTGTGGTATTATGGAGTTGTTTTCTGTGGTTTTTAGGTCTATTAACCAGATTGATTAAATAATCACATTGACACAAGGCACAAGTGGCCGGACCTCACAAAGTAGCAGTGCTTTTCAATGTGAAGCATTTTACTATTTTTCTACAATGAGCCTGGAATCTCTGAATGAACGCAATAGTCATTTTACTCTATGACGGTTACCTCTTTCTGCGTCGATTCGGGAGAAACTCCAAGAACCCCATACAAATCTAACTTCAAAACGTCTGCCATCTCTCCATGTGAAACATAGATTAAACCTTCCTCCTAAAGCCGAAGAGCTGTGCATTTTTCCAGACTCCTTTACTAAAGATCTTTATTTATTAGACGGGAAATCACCCGGGGATGTCCAGGTTTGGCGATAAAAGATTGATGTCATTGTCGTTTTGATTGAAATTAGATTACGGGCTACTGCAATCGAAACTGCAGGGCCTTTTATTGAGAAGTGTCTGTGAGTCATAAAAACAACAAAGTCAAATGTGGATCTTTTCTTGAGACGTACTAGTATTAATCTGTGAGTCACAAAAAAAGTCAAACGTGAATCATAATTTATTTCAGAAGACCTGAATACACCTTGACAATTTTATTATGAATTAAAATTTTGACCACAACTTACATTTTGTATTTCTATCGTCCAGCAAGCTTTTAGTATTTATTTTTATTGCTATCGCTTAGGTTTAAACATGAATAAAGTGGAGTCGCATACGCACTGGAAACTGTGAAGTTAAAAAGGTAATTTGCTGGCCTCTCTTGTACATCGTAATACACTTGCAGCCAGCCAGTTATTACTGTTATGCAAATATTCTGAATATGTGTTGAAAAAGGGCACTGAAAAGCGACACTAGCAAAAATTTAATTAGGTGTACGACATATGAGGTATTTGTGTAAAAAAAAAATATGGATCTTTTTGTACCAGTTTAAAAGGTCGGTCTAACTGACTCTGGATTTACTTTTAAATTCATTAATTATGCATCTTGACTCATGTTTTATTGATTTTGTAGACTATTCCTCAGAAAAAACCAAAAGATGTGTATAATTTATGATGATTCATGACAAGGCACTCTGGGGTATGCCTTATATTCCGAGGGTTTATTGTTCCTAGGGTCTGATATTTTGAAGATTGTAGGATCCAAGTTCAAAAATCAACTGCTGTTCTGAGACTTCAATATTCCGAAGGTAGAGGGCCCAATATTCCGAATGATTTTTAGGTAGAGGGTCCGTTGATCCTCAAAATGGATAGCTGTGCTTAAATGCAGTTTTATTACTTGCATGTGCAGAGAGGCACTTTTAACTGTTATTTCACAACATGTGCATTACTTTTTTCGGGCATATTGAGCAAATTCTTGATAGCAGTATATTCAGTGCATGTTTAATTCCCAACACTGCTACGGCTTCAGAAGAGCAGACCTCGGAGCAAAAGTCCATCACAACAAAAAACCATCGGAGCAAAAGTCCCTCGGAACAAAAGACCCTCAGAATATGAATATGCACCTGGCACCCCCTTCCATGTAAATTGAAAGAAGTTAGGCTGTCAGAATCTCTATCTGTTTACATTTGAAGAACTATAGCTAAAGTGAATGTGTTTAGGAAACTTTAAACATCTACTAAGTATCTGGCAAGTGGCAGTTACAAGATGTAGATAGGAAGAATAGGGAATACTGTGTTTTCAAAGATTTTTTGCCTCTATTTATTGCCTTTTTCTAGATTAAATTGAATCTCAGGTCATAAACTTTGTTTTTTGACTGATCATGAACCAAAATGTTTACAAACTGAGACAATTTTTCTGATTTAAATCTATGTTAATACAATCAGTTAATTCCCAATCTACCATTTCTTAACTTAACATTAGTGAAGATTGTCTAATTCACTATGTTGTACCATTATCATGTTTCTGTATCATTTCCTTCTTCATTTTTTACAACGATATGTGAAAGGTGAACAACAAACAATTTTGTATATGAACGCAGCAAACTCATTGCTTACCTAAAGTTAGTGCACAAGTTTGTTCATTCCATAACAGAAAGTGCAAGCAGACTCAAAAATTAGCATGCAAATCAAGTTTATGAATTACTTTTATTATCAATGTCCATGGTCCGAGTTCCCACTGTATTTTTTATAATCATTTGTAGGTGAAAACCATGTCAGGTAGACCAGAGACACTGTCTCAGGACAGGGTGAGGAGTGTCAGTGAGAGTGCTGCACAGTCCCAAAGGAATCGGAACAACTCTGAGACATATCCAGGTAACTAGTAAGATTCTGCTTATGCTGGGTTTGAGCCTATCAAGCACAGGGAATCATCCTGGGGTTGTAAGGTGATGTCCAAGTAATCTCAATTGTCTCCCTAGCTATTTCTCTTGGCCATTATCCACCATAATATTCATGTGTAGTCAGTAACTTAGTTGTTTAACTATAATTGAACTTCACAAATTGAATTAGTTCAACTTTAGTCAGATTTTTAAAGTTCTCTTTTTTTAACCATTTATTTATTTATTTTAAGGCTCTGGGCGAGCTCGCAGCAAAACAGAATTGGATGTGAGCACCAGAACAGAGGCAGTAGAAAATGAAGTGGTGAGAGAAGACATTCATGCTGTTTTTGACTACTTGGTCAGTGATTGGTTAAAAAATGACTTTGCAGAGAAAGATGACATCCCTTTAGGACTGAGAAGTTTATGGAATGCTGATAGACACACACTGAGGTGATATAAATAGTGCCATGGTCTTGGTGCTCTCTCTCTCTCTCTCTCTCTCTCTCTCTCTCTTTCGTGTGTATTTAAGTAAGTTTTTTTTTCCAAAATAAGATGTGGTTATTTGTTATGTTAGCCTCTTTACTAAACTATTACTAATCAATATTGTTCAATAATGAGAAAACTGATTATCTTAAGAATGGAAGAATAACTGTTATATAATGTCAGTGGCTCTAAAGATGTTTCTTGACGATTTACTTTTTCAGACCATGTGTTCAGAGTTTGGCCTTTGAACTTAAGCATGTAGTAGATGGTATTAAAGACCCTGGTGTTTTTGATGATGCTGTTGGAAAAACATTATTACCACGGTAATGTTTTAACATTTTTGATTGTATTTTTATGGAAATGATGGAAAGTTCATGGTACTAGTATTTTCATGATGTAAATCATATGGCCTGAAATATAATGTATTTACTCCTTTCAAACAGTGAGACAGTACATGACAAATAAGAAAGTATTTGGTTTTAAATTTTCAGAGATATGAAAGATATGATAGCTTACGAGTTGACTTTACATGCCTGATTTTATGATTATGATATTGATATTCCAGTTGGACTTTAAAAAGTGTTGGTGATTCATGCAGGGTTGGTTATATCTGTCAGTGATTGTGAAATCATTCCTTTTGCTCCTTGTAAAAGGAGTTTCAAAACTTAAGATACTTACCATTCATATTCTCTATTGATATATTTTTCAGGGGCACTGTGTCAGATTTTAAACCCATTCCTGTCAAATACGAAAATTTTGCATCTCTTGCAAGAGAGACTGTGTAAGTAAAATGTGTGTTATTTTTTCCTTGTAATTAGTTTTCATACTCCAGTTTTTTGTGGTTTAATGTCATTGTGGAAAAGGCTGAAATATATAGTGAATAATTATAACACTAAAATACATATGCATGGCAAGTAGACTATTTTTAATGTTTTAGCCCCATTCACTAGCCTTTGGATAAGTAAAAGCCTTTAACTTTCAGCCAACTGGTCACTTTAACCAGTATTAGACTGATATATGCAGCCCTTATTACAAACCACAAGAAAAGTAAAAACCAATTGCGTAGATTTCTTGTTGTGTTGTACTGTTAAATTTTCCCTCTCTTTTTCTTTTTTTTTTAAATTTCTTGTTAACAATTTCAGGATGTATGGAGATGCAGTAAACCTAGGACGAATAGGTGCTTTGATGTTCTTCAGCTATAGGCTTGTCTTGAAGGCAGGTTCAGATATTCATAGTGACATTAGGAATCATTTAGGACAATTCTTCCAGGAAGAAAACCTTTTCAGATGGATCAATGACCCAAAGAGGTGCTTTTTTTGTTTGTTCATTTGTTTATGTATGTATGTATGTACGTATGGTGTGTATGTATGGTATGTATGTATGTATGTATTTGTTCATTTATGAGGCAAAGTTTTCATATGTATGTCATACAACTTGTATTCCAAAACTAAGTTACTTAATGCTCAAGTAAAGAAGATTATTACACCAAACAGTTACAGCCTGATATGAGTTTATATAACCATTGAATAGTTGATTAAAAGATAGAACAGTTTTACAACTTTCATTATGTCTAATCATGTTAATTCAAATTGTTATGTTTAACAATAAGGTGTAAGATACTGCTGTGTGATTTAAAAAGTTTTCTATTATTTTTATGAATTAATTAATTTTGAACTTCGAAAGATGTTGGAATGGGCCATAATCTTGATATCATAAATATATAATACTTTTTCTTTCAATGAATTATTTAGTTTTGAGTTTGAGAAGATGTTGGACAGGCCAGATTATCTCCAGGTGTACAAGAAGGCCTGTGCAGAAGGGACGAGAAAAGTGTATCGCCTCAGAGTGATGATAGTAGGACAGCATGGAGTAGGGAAAACCAGCCTGAGAAAGAGGCTCCTGGACGAAGGGTTCTCTGAGGAATACAAAATCACAGATGGGATAGATGTTGATCCATCTGAGTGTGTGGTGGATGTGAAGAATTCTTCAGTGTGGCTAACTTCTGCTAAAGGTATTGATGTATAACTAAAGCAGACTTAATGTAAAAAAAACTTTCATAAGAAATTGTGTGGAATATTTTAAATACATGTATTTGAAGTTGAAAATTGAATCCAGAATTTTTTATGAAAATTTTCAAAAATTTTGACCATTGTTGATGATGTTGAAAAGTATCTGAGATCATCTCAGACCCAACATACACATATTCCTGTATCCATGACCATTGCTTGTCACAAATTATTTTTTGACAGTATTACTAGTTAACTTAATTACAGACATGGGGGAAAAGTTCAGAGCCAAAGCCACTCACTCAGGCTTTCAAAGTTTTCAATATTGCTAGGCCAGATGAACAAACTTTGGTCTAAATGTTTTTTGATTGAGAATTACTTACTGCATACCATCAGGTGGGTGGTCTGTTGGTATGCACCAACAGTTCTAAAGACATTTTATTGTTCTGTCTGACCCTAACAAGAAGAAGTTTTTCCAGGATATAAACCTGAAGTTGATGAGGAAGATCCTAAAGAAATTTATGAAAAGGCCATTGCCAAGGTTCTTCTTGAGCATTATCAAGAAGGGACACCTGGTGAGAGAAAGAATTATTTATATCATCATTATTTGTATTTCGTGTTTATTTGTATCACCCAGCCAAGTTTTTGTTACATAAGAAGAGTGTGTATCCATTTTGCAATATTTGATACAGCTCAGATAATTTATTTGATAACTAAGTAGACCAATGTTGTTTCGTATATGGTTTTTGTTCTGCTCTTGTATTGTTCCAACATGTCTTTAGAAGCCATGTATTAAAATTGTAAGTGTTCATTGCAGTTGATGTGCCCCAGATGATTCCCAGCAGTACCTCCTCTGAGGAAGATGTTATGCCAGACAAGCTCAGTAAAGGTTCGTGAGGCCATATTTCACATCAAGAAGTACACTTAACTGGCCCACTTAGTGAGATTGTGAAATTAATAGCCTGGTCCCAAAGTGAATGTTTTGATTGAAACAGTTATACTATACCAATGTAATGAGAAAATTAAACCTAATACTAGAAATGGAGATCAAAATGTTTGGACCTTATCTGAAGGCCCTTTTCATTTGGAGTTGTCACCAGGGTCACCATATCTGTGGGACAGGGCCCTGGGAGACATCCCGTGCAAACTGTCATTACGTGACACCATGACAAATCCAAATTAGTCTCATTATTTTAGTAATGCCCTGACCATTACATAAGAGGGTCATTTAAATGAAGTCCCCACTCTCAGCACGTCCAATTAATTTACTTAACAGCAGGTATCAAACTTGTGAAGGACTTGTTAAAGAGAGAAAATACCCTCTAATGTTTTGTGACGTGAAGTGTGAGATATTTTTTTCATAATTAACATAATTTTCTCAATTAAAAATTTTTTGTTTGTTTGTTTGTTTTTGGCTTCTTAAAGAAAATTCATTGTCTTTGAAAGTGCAATTCCTTATCTTTTTAGTCAACACACAAATGGTCAAACTTTCTTTAGTGAACATTTTTAATATTTTGGCTATGGAAGAAATGTCATGTCCATATTATATTCATCATTTTACGTATTGGCTTCTTGTGATTTGGATGATAATAAATCTGCATTTAATTCACTTTTGCCCTGACCAACAGATGAAAATGGTGCTACAAATACAGAAGAACCTTTTGGGCATACTAGTACACACATCACTGCTGGAGGGGAAGAAGAAACACCACCTTCTATAACAGCACCAACTGGAAAGCAAGCTGATGTCAAAGAAAAAAATTACAAGGGTTCAGACAGTGATCTCCATTCTCAACGAAATGGGAAAGATACTGTGGATTTCTTGCAGATTCCTGCCAACCTGCCACAAGATATCAAAGCCAAGGTATCAGAGCTGAAACTGAAGATGGAGGAGAAGTTGAGGCTCCATAGAAAGGGTGAGTGAATACTCTGTCTGTGCTCCTCTCAGGGTAAAATGTGGGAGGAATTCATGTCTTTCCTTTTTGTTCCATTTTTTAAAATTTTATTCCTTTATTATCCCTGCACTCTTCTGACAAAAGCCATTTATTCTCTTTGTCCATGCAATGAAGGACAGTCCTATAATCCGTTTACAGCTTATTTTTATATGGAAGCAATATAACCAATATACTAAAAATAGGATCAAACATTCTAATTTACAGCATATAATGTAGCAGATTCAAATTGTCTATCAAAATTGTCCTTTTTTTTTTTTGTAAATTCATTCATTTAATTATGCCAAAAACAGTTAAAGTACTGACTGTAACAGGGTTTGAACTATAATTCTACTTCTTGTTCTTTTTTATAGCTTTCTGATGCAATATTGTTAAAGTGGCAATTCATTGGCATTTAATTTATTGCCTTCGTGCTACTTTTTCTCTTAAGACTCTTTCAAAATATCACTTTGCTGCCTCCTACAATAAAAATTACCTGTGATTGAGAAGGTATTTTACATGTAATATAGATATCAATGATAGTGTCATTGGGTGTAATACTATACCAAAACACATGTAGAACAGATTAGACTTATATGTCACTTTATATGTGTTCAAAGTGTGGGCATTGGAGACAGTTACTATTAAATCCTGACAAGTAGATTTCAGGAAAAAAATCTATTGTCATACATACACTGTACAGTATGTCCTTATATCCTCTTCAGGATGTTACAACACATGTAGATAAAAACATATACAAGTTGGTAGAAAAAAGAGGATACTGAATTACACTAAGGGTAAATAGGGACATTTTCATCCAAAGTCTTGTAAAATCAAATGAGATTTATAGGGACTTGCAGGAGAGTGGGCTCAGAAATAATGGTAGATGGTCATAAGCAGTGGCAGCAATGAATAAAAGCCGACAGCATATTCTTCCAGGGATATTTTTCTGCTCATTTTCTCTTAAGTTCTGTCAATTTACAGACTATAACAAAACAGTACAAATTTACTATGGTCTGGGTGTCACCTTTGTATCACTTTCTGAGAAGACATTCCTGGCACATAGAGTTTCACCTTCGCGGCTTTAATGTTGACCTCAACTTATGAAGATTCTTGCATGTTTTCTTGTCTCATGTGATATCACACATTGCCAAAGACCTCATTTTAAGCTATCTTGGTTGATTCCCATATTCCATTACAAACAGGGTATTTCATACACATTCAGCACCGGTACTGTACAAGATTTAACAGCACACATATTTTGCACTATTTTATTGTTAGAGAAGGGGAACATAGGTATGTTAGTTATTACTGAAGAACCAACCCCTCAGTATAATTTATACACTTATGAGAGTAAAAATAATTATTTTCCTAAATACTTGAGGAAATATAAAGAATGAGGAAATATAAAGAATGATGTGAATAAATAGCTGGATTCCACACTTCACCCAACTGAAGAAAGAAGCAGTGCAAAAGTGTCAGTGGGGATTGTACCTGCAATAATGATGATAATCGCTTCAAAATTATCGTTATTAATAACACATTTAAGGTTTACAAGTGATCTGTTAGCACAACTTATAAGGTTGTGGAGGGTAGAAATACAACAATTAGTGACATGAATCACACTGGTACATGTATTATGGTATTATGCATCTGCACAGGTTTATCCACGCATTTTAAGAATCTTTGAAACAAAATGCCTACAACCCCACTGTTATGAATCATTCACTCACTCTTCCATTATTCACCAATAAATTGCTGGAGCCCTTGCACAAATTTTCACAAACTTTGAATAAAACCAACTTTTTTTCTAAAGTTTTTGTGAAAACTGTTCTAATGGTGCTTATTTGTCCATCTGTAACATTTTAAATATTTTTTTACAGGTTCCACAGATGAAATTGACAGCAGTTCACTAGATGAGCCAAAATTAAAACTTTCATTCTGGGACTTTGGTGGCCAGCATGTCTTTTATACAACACATCAGACATTCCTGACCAGCAGAGCCATCTACTTACTGGTGATGGACCTGAACAAGGACATGTATGCAGCGGTGCAGACCTTTCGCCAAGGGAGAACAGAGAGGGTGGTTGACCTTATTGCGCCAAAAACAGGCATAGGTGGGTGTCCTAACTGTCAGTTATAAGACCATTATCCCCTCTTTATCTCTTAAGAGATTATTACAAAATAACAAACTTTTTAGAAAAAAAACAGGGACTAACTGAATGTAGAAATGGATTCATTAACCATTGGTAAGTATGGGAAAATTGGCATTTATCGCAGGAAAATTCATTTTTTGGCCAAAGTGACCAGTTGTTATCCTTTTAACTATGGTAAATGAATCTCACTCAGAGTTATTCCGCTTTTTTTTTCCTCTGAAAAGTTTTCTTTTATAACAATCTCCTTAGAGATTATTACAGAAGGTCACCACAGATAACAGAAAAATTGTGATAACTGCCATTTTTGGTGGTAAAATAGAAATGATTATATTTTATTTCAATGAACCGGTATTTATTGTGAAGTATAGCTCATACGAAAAGTTGTTTTCCTTTTAGTCCATGTGGTGATTAGCATTGTTAGTTGTTAGTAATTAAGGATGGACGTCTTGCGTGGTAATTGCAGTACGTAAGACAACGCCAAGTGTCTTGTTGTTTTCAATTTACATTCTTGGTTTGTCTTTAATTAATACTGTGATTAGTGTTGCTAGTGTATTTGTAATAAAGGATGGAGATCGTGTGTGGTAATTGCTGAAAGACTACACCAAGTTTTATGTCAATTTATTTTTGGATTGCATATTAGTAGCTTAGTTATCTGCTTGCAACATGTGTAATTATAGTATTGAATAACCAAGTATGATGATGTAAATTTTACTCTCACCAGGGATGTTATGTTTTTTGCCTTTGTTGGTTTGTTAACAGCCTCAGAAACTCAATAAAATTTTCAGGACAGGTCAGATATGGGCTTACTAAGAAATTAATATATTTTGGTGGTGATCCATCCTTAATTAATAAATTAATAATAATGATGAAAATTGAGATGCCTTGGGTTAGGTGTACGCTGTTGTTTTCCTAGTTTTACTCTATTTCACTATAAAGTATAATGCTCTTTTAAAAAGTTCTTTTGTTTTGTTACTCAGTTAAAAATATGTTTCTTTGAAAATCATTTCTAGACTACTTAGATTACTGGCTGAACTCTATTCACACCCATGCTGTGGACCTGAGGACATCCACCAATAGTCTGCTCAGTCCCCCTGTCATCATCGTCTGCACCCACAAGGACCAGGTAGACCAGGTAAGAGTACGTCATGGTTGACTGCACCAGGCCTGATTTGACTAGAATAAGAAGGTTGAATCTTTCAGTGGATATACCAGTATATCAATGTGATGGATTTTTAAATTTTAGAGTATTTTGTAAAAGAAGTCTGCTTTAATGGTTAAACCAGTTGAGATAGAGTAACTGTTAAAAATGGTTGGGTTTTCTAGAGGAGATGTGGATATATCTTGATTTCCTATAAACATGCATGATACTTAACAAGAGTATTAATGTAATTTTATCAGCCCAGTCCTCAAAAACCAGTTGAAAGATCTTTCATATTTTTGGACTGACTTAAATATTCTTTTTCACAAAAATGAACCTGTTATGGCCATGGCAAATTATTAATTTTTCACATAGTTTATGTAACATGGCAACATGTAATATGAGAAGGTTTGATTAAATGTTTTTAAAATTCTTATAGATTTTTGTTAGCAGTCTTCCCTGGTACAAGAGGTACTATGCCAGATATTCAGGCAAAGCATACTACAGTGAAGACCCAGAGTCTGTCTCTGATACAGTGAAGTCCTTTTTTAAAGCCATCACAGAGCACTTGGAAGGCAAAGTCTACAATAGCCATGTTTATCACAGGTATTTCGCAATTGACAACAAAAACACAGGGGATCCAGCATTGGAGCAACTTCGGCAGACGATTTTTCAGCTAGCACAGCAACAGCAACACTGGGGTGAAGATGTTCCAATCAAATGGTTGAATTTGGAGCGACAGCTGCGAGAGATCAAGCAGTCCTCCATGGCAGACGGCAATTTTCTTCCTTTGCAAGAGGTCATTGTTCATGGAAGCTCTGTTGGAATGACAGAGGAAGAGGTGATTGCATGTTTGGTATTTTACCATGAAGTTGGCGAAATGGTATTTTTCAACGAAGATCACTTGAGGGAAATTGTCATCCTTGATCCACAATGGCTCATTGATGCCTTTAAAAGCATCATCACACTGAAGGAGTTCCACAAAGAAGTCCATGGGAAGAATGGGATCAGCAGAACATACTGGGAGATACTGGACAGAAGAGGGATTTTACACGAAGAGCTGGTGGACATGATATGGGAGGAGGAGGACAGGTTGATCAGGTACAAGATTGTCATCCTGCAGTTAATGCAAAGCTTTGATCTGATTTGTCCACTCAAGAGGGACTTCAGGGAGAACCCACGGGTGTATCAGCCTACCAAGTCTAACCAAGCAGATGAAACAGACCTTGCGTCTTCCTCACAGACATTTTTTGTGCCATGTTTATTGTCAAGTCCATCTGCCAGTGACATCATTCCGGACAAATCCAGGGATGTGTCAGCTCTGTACTTTAGGTTCTCCTTCTTGCCAAATGGTCTGTTTTATCGTCTAGTTGCATGTGCTGCACAATTCCCAGGTTGGCATGTCTACGGCAAGATGCTGTTTCATGGTTACGTCCGCTTTGAGGTAGATGAGGAAAACAAAATGTACATACTGGTCCTGACAAAAGAGGGCGACACCATTGCATTCAAGATGCACCTGTTGATGGCTGACCTCCCTGGGTCTCTGACCCATGAGCTGTGTAGGCAGACATGTAGTGACCTGGTGAAGATGCTGAATTCTGAGATAAGAAAGTATTGTCCCCGAGTGACCTATGACCTCTGTGTGAAGTGTAACTGTGAGGGAGCAGAAGAGAGTACCCTGGAACCCATAGGGTACAATGGACAGAAGATTATGTCAGGGATCCCAATGCTTTGCCATGATCACCATCAGGCCATCAGAACCACAGGGTACAGGCCCTGGTTTGTGGAATGGGTAAGAATTGTCTTTCTTAATTTTCTTTATTTCTTATCCCTTACGAAAAAGTCCTATAGGATCCTATAAGATTTGTGTTTCAAAATCATTCCATTTCTGATAAACCAAATCATTAAATTTTTAATCTTTGTAAAGTATTAAAACTAAAGATCTTTTTAAAATTTATTTTCACATGTAAGGGAATATATCACCATTACTGGCATATTTTATAAATGGGTTTATATTTTATGTGACAATCATCCAGTACATTAATTGTACAATACATTTTTTTTTGCTAGAAAGAAGAAGATGTGCCAAAACCTCAGACATTCTCAGGAGCACAAGATATCCCAGTCCTTGGTGAGTTGAAGCGACCTAAATAGTCTTTAAGTTTTTCACACCAAACCGTAGTTTGCAGTATCACTGAAACAGAGCCTCGTATTCATCATGGCCAGTTGACTGGATTAATTTTTATTGGTACATATATTAAAATCATTTCTGAAATAGGCCTAAAATGGAGAAAGGTTTAACAAGCAAGTGAAATGAGAAAGTAAATTTTCCTTAGTGGTTGTTTACTCTGTCTGAGGACTAAGATAATTATCACAAATAATTAGTGTTGTTAGTCTTTTTATTGCTACAAAGTGCTGTATTGCACATATCAAAAAAAGAGAGAATATTTTTGTATGATTCTTCCTCAGAAACTCTGATGATTTTTTTTTTTTTTTTTTTTTTTTTTTTTTTTTTTTTTTTTTTTTTTGGTTACAGAAGAAAGTCTGCCAACAGAAAATGAAGAAGAGTTTGTGGATGAAGTCATAGTGAAACCCTGCTTGGACAATTTCTACGATATTTATTCAAATGACTTGAAAGAGGTGAAGTTTAGATAGTGTATTATATCTCAGTTGAATGTTTATGTATTTTAATTTTAATTAAAATTATGTATAATTGAAGACATTTAAATAATTTTATACAAATGATATTTCTTAGATATGTTTACACAGCAAGTAAATTAAAAAAAGATAACTCTTATATAATTCACGATAAGTTTCTGTGATATCTAAAATCAGTGAAAATCATAGTTAATTTTTCTATTATTTTTAGTGAACGATACTACAGGAAATATTTAAGAACAATTATTACTCTTATTTAAACTTTTGAATGAGTAAACAGTCAATAACTGGGTGATTAACACAGCACATGAAATTCTTATTGAAATATGTTTCAATATTCCCAAATATTTCATATGTAATTTATGTTAGCGTAATAAAAATTTCTGTACAATTTTTATTAGTAATACATAATATCATACAACCACAACTTCTGCTCTATTTAAGGTATACAAAAATACCTCCACACCAAGAGGACGCTCACTCATAATCAATAACCGCACATTCAACTGTGACACACCCAAACTGGCCAATCGTCATGGCACGGAGCTTGATGTGGATAAGATGGAGGAGCTCCTTCATCAGCTTGGCTATAGGGTGTCAGTGCATCATGATCTCACTGCAAAGGTAGTAATGATGCTGTTACAGACAGGATTGTTTGTTGGTTCTTTCTTATTTATCCTTCCTAAAATTAACTAAAGTTCTCAAAATAATAATAAGGGTAAAATTAGAAAATAAATAAAAATTAAAAAAAAAGTGAAATTGTACAGTTATATACGGTATCTGATTGAGCTTTCTTGTGGCAAAAGTAGTAGTGACAGACAGGATTATTTGTTTAATCATCATTATATATACCTAGCAGGCATTCGTGCTATGATTTTTTTAACTAAAATGAATGATGGTCTTTGAGTTTTTTGCTTAATTGACAATGTACATAAATGCAATGGTTTATTTGCTGGAAATTGTTTAGAGTACAACTTTTGAAATGTGTGTATAATTTATAGAGGACCTATATGTATTTGTGTGTATGTGTACGGTTGCTTGTATGCGTGCTTGCGTATAAAAAAATGGACACTTGTGCACATTTAGAACACATTGGCTAGTACTCTTCGTTCAAACTGTACAAACTGAATGCACAAATTAAAGGTGATAAGTAAGCAATGTTATTCATGAAAGAGCAATAAAATACATTTGTTTGCACTTTAAAATACTTAATTCCAACATGCTATATAAGTATGCATATTTTTATCTACTGATTCCATCATATGTTATTTATATACTTAATTTTCTAGGGAATGTCTGATCTGCTTAAAGAAGAAAGTGAGAGACCAGATCACCAAAAATATGATTCTTTCATACTTGTTATACTGAGTCATGGAGCAAGGGGGGCTGTCTATGGCACGGATGGCTTTGTGATATCATACGAACAAATTACAGAATATTTCAATAACGCCAGCTGTTCTGCTCTGCGGAGTAAACCAAAGATGATATTCATTCAGGCATGTCAAGGAAGTGAGTAACTCTCGTTATGCATAATTTTCTTTTTACGTTTTTCGCTTTCTATTGCAGAGACAGCAACACTTTATTCAAGTGCATTGTTATTTAATTGGTTCATTTGGGTCAAATTTGACTAAAATTTTGGTCTTAAATTTTTAACCAACTTTTGGTCTGAATTCCCTATATGAACTGGACTCTGACTTTTTATCTCATTTGCAGATGCCAGGGATCATGGTGCTGGCCATGTGCCATTACCAGACCCTGTCAAGATGTTACCTAGCAACCAAAACACAACCCATGATGCACCAGAAGATGAAGGAGAGATAGTCCCCACAATGGCAGACTTCCTGGTGGCGAAGGCCACAACACCTGGTGAGAAAGTGAAAAAATCTACTGCTTATTTAAGTCATAAAAATATTTGATAAGTGTATAGCAACACTGTTTGTATATAATTTTTACAGACATCCGTCTGGTTAATAAAACTATATATACATGTATTATATATTATAAGAGAAACATGAAAATGAATAGACCAGAAGAGGATACTCTGCATGAATTACAAGTACTCTAGATTTCTTTTTAATTAAATGCTTTTATCCAAAGCTTTTTTTTTTTTCTGTGAATTTCTAGACTTTGTGTCTTGGCGAAACAAAGAGAAAGGCACTTGGTTCATCCAGTCCATTGTGACAGTATTCTGCAGATATGCATGGAAAGAGGATGTGCTCTCCATGTTCTCAAAGGTGTGTTTTACATTCACAACTAAGTTAACACTAAGAACTGGGTGACAGAGGTGAGCATGGAGTGAAGATCGAAGCCCAAGTTGTGTAGCACAAGCTCGACCACACATACTGTAATGCATAGTTTTTGACCAATCAGAGCAAAGGAAACATTTTTAATCACAGAACAAACAATATGGCAGATTGCAACGATGTTGTAATATTTGATGTTATCTTGGAAGACATTGATGTTCATGTTATAAGTTATATAATAAAACAATTATTGACTTTTGCTTTTAATCAATAAGTTGTTTGGCCAGTGGTCACTCTGTGGTCATGTTGGATAACTTGACAACACTGCACATGAGTCTCAGCTGTAAGATGTCTTTGGATAAATTTTATCGTTAATTTTTTTTTTTTTTTAGGTGAATGCCCTTGTGGCAAAGTCAAAAACATCCGGAGGAATGAAGCAAGTGTCCCAAACTGAGTCAACTCTGTTGAAGAAAATCTATTTCTTCCCAGGGAAGTAGACACTGATGTACGTTATGCCTGGGAGACACTGAAATCACTTTACCACTCCAGTGTTGATGATTACAGGCTAAAGAGTCACAAGAATGTTTAGACTCCTATCTCTTTTAAACATACTGGTGCTGGTACATTGATTTATTTGACTTTGTATATTTCATATTATAGATTTAATTCTTCAAAATACTTTATCAAAAGATTTAAATGGCACAGAGGAATCATCAGCATAAAACATGATGGCTTCAGGGATCTATGTGAGGAAGATGCTTTTCAATTGTCTTTAATGAAAATTAAATCTTTAAGCGCTTTTTTATTATTTTGAGGATTTTGGACTTAACACAAATTGAATAGCTGATTAAGTAAAGTTAAGTGACTTTGGGTGTTTAATGCAGGATTGGCCTCCAATAATTACAGTTGACAAACCCAAATGGACACAAAGATTTTAGAATAAAAATCATTGTAGAGGCAATAAAAAAAAAGACTTTAAAAAAGCAAAATGCTGGTTACTGGCTAAAGTTCCTAGCAATCTTTGCTAAGATCAATATTCATTATGTCCCAGTTATCCTAGTGATGTGATACAGCAATGACACAAGTGTAATAGGTTTAGGAAAGCCCGATGGATGATAGGTCAGACAAATGGTTTAATTTCAGTAAAGATTCATTCTTTTTCAATTCTTGCATTGTAATCTTTTATTAATCATTCATTTATTTATTTATTTTATTTATTTATTTATTTATTATTATTATTATTTTTATTTTATTTATTTATTTTTTTTTTATTTATTTATTTGTGTGAATAGCACACATAAAATGTGTTCCACCGGTACATTTTGTTGCAGTCTTCCAAAAGTACTTGGTGAAAAACTTTTAAATGAGGTTTAAAAGGTTTAAAATTTTTTAAGTCTGTGTTATGGGTTGGTAGGCTATGAATTGTATATCTCAAAAATGCTTCTGCATTTATTATTTATTTATTTTAGTTACCAAACTTAGTATTTATTGATGTAATTATTTTTTGATGAAGTTTTAATTAAAAATCTTGTATAACTCATTAATGTTAAATCAAAGTGCAAAAAATATTCATTGTATGTTAAAATAATTGAGTTTTTATTAGACATGATGGAATTACTGATTGATAATGTTCAAACTACCATTCACTTTACCGGGCTGCATAATTATAAAAACTCAGAAACATTGTACAATCAGGCACACTGAATAAAAACAAACTTGTTTGATCCAAAGTTTTTTTCGGTACTCTTCTGTCCTCTTTCAGTCTGACTTATAGGTAATGCCTATTGAAAGTTTTCTGTTCAACAAAGTTGACTAAAAAAAAATAAATAAACCCATGTTTTGGTCTGAATTTGAAGACGAGTTCTCTTGTTGTAGTTTAGTCTGATGATGACTTATAAATTGCTGGCATATTAAACAAGTAAAGCACGTTCCCAAGTGTACAACGCAGAATTAGTTGAGTAAGAGGAAATAAATCCTGAAGATATATATTCCAAAAGTGTGCACCTAGAAAGATACGCATGTGACGATTTCAGTAGTACAGATGTTTTATGCAGTTTAACTGGTACAGTAGTATTTGTTTCCATGCGATTGTTGACACCAGTTAAAATATTTATTAGCCCCCTATTTATTTATTTATTTATTTATTTATTTATTTATTTATTTATTTATTTATTACTTGAGAAAGATAAGGTTGAACACACTTTAAATATAAGATATCGAATTTTGTCCGTTCACTGGGAGTTCTGCTCCAGTCTTGTATACTGTGATTATGTATAACTTAAAACTTGTACAATATCACGAATTATTTGCCCAAGCTTAGATTAATACATGTAGCACACATTGCGTCCAAGGACCAAGACAAAACTAAATGTATATTTTATTTCACGAAATAAGTCATTAAATAATGATCCTATACGAACATGGATATGACGTAGATGAATTTTCCAAAAGAACCGTAATTAATTGGAGTAACAGTCTTCTGGCAAGGTTTGAAGATGACCAACAGAAGCCAATATTCAAAACAATAAGTGCGGTGGTCCACCTCGAATGACAAATTTTTAATTGTCAAAATGTTTTTGGTACATGAAGTTTTGTTGATGACAGGTATGAAGAAACCGTGCTTACACCTAAAGCTCTCATTAACGGTATGTACATCGCATTTGTTATCATACTAAAATGATTTAATTTGATGTAAGAAAAGTGCTAATTTTGTTATTCATAGCTTAATAATGTCTTATTAATTTCGCACCAATGGTTCAAATTCATGAATCTTTACTGGTTTTGCTTGGCGTTTTTGTTTGATGCGAAATGTCCACATCGTTGACATTACGAGGAGAGTGTGTTCGTAGAGTAACTAGGCTATATTTGTGCGTCAGCCTTCGTATAGAGAACTAATTCTATAAGGAATTTGCGCTATATCAGTTTCTTATATAACATTAGAGTATAATTACAAGTAACAAAAGACATGTATTTGGTCGATTTTGTTGGGAACAATACATTCAATTTGGGGTTTGTTTTCTTCCAATTATCCTCAAATGATTGATCAGAAACTTCCCCACGCCGGTCTGTCCTAATGCAACACAGATACAGCAGTCAGAGAACAGTGAAATAAGGACTACCGAATTTTTTGCCACCCCCCCCCCCCTCCCCCTCAAAAATGATGTAAGTCTCCATGTTAATTTTGTTTTTATCCTGACGCACAATTTCAAATCAGATTTGGTAATAGCAAGTCGTTGTTTCTTATTAGGCTAACGCAATACGCGCGGGGAAGGTTTAAAAATAAATTTCTCTCAAATTACATCTCAATAGCAACTTTATGTAAGAACAAATGTAAGTTGCGTTGCAACGATTGCACAATAGGAACAGTTGTATAGGCTCGCCATGTCTGGCATACCTTGGTGAATAAACTTGCCCCTTCCTGCGTCACCTCTGATAGGGGCTTCGCGAAAGTCACAAATCCAAATGTTTGCATCAACTGTTCAAATATACCGGGGTCAACTTTGTTGTTGTTCAGTGCAAATTCTTCTACCTCCACACTGCCCAAACAAAATTTACTACCAAAAAGAAACTAGGGCAAATGATGCAATATACTGCTCCCCGCTGTTGAAAGTTTGCCAAAAATCCAAAGAATGTAGATCAATTTGAGAGTTTCAGAGGTAAATTTGGGAGGGTAGGTTTAAGAAAAAACACACCCCTTTAGCATTTGCTACGCACGTAAACTTGTCAAATTTGGTATTTTCACCCTGTGAATTCCTACGGTGTTTCGTTTCATGCACGTAAAACTACTACTCTGTGCGTAGTTCGTGGCAAGCTGTGAAAGTCGAGCAATCTGAAGGTCAGATTTGTTGACGCTCGGTTCATTGATCCAGAACACCTTGTTCAATCACTCAAGGTCACATCGCTATAAGGCGCGTCATGGTCAAGGTCTTCTCTATTAAAGGGCACGAACTTTAGACTATCGCGGGCGTGAAAATATTCACAAAACGTATAATTTAAATTACATGTTTACCCGTTGATTAACATTTGTTTTCGCTGCTTGAAATAAAGTCGTTTGCTGTACCCCCAACTTGGTTTTGATGATGTTTATTGTTGATCTTTTTGTTTACATGGTGGAATCGGTCACACTGACCATCGAAAATATTTAGTGCTGGCGCAACAGTCACGAGTTCATTACGTACATAAATACAATAAACCAAGAATGTACGACAGCTTTTAAAGGCACGTGTGTTTTGTTTTCAGGTTTTTCAGATCAGTGATTTCACTCAAAGATTGGTATTTAGGTAATTTGTTTGTAAATACCGTGTGCCTTTTTATTTGTTTATTTGGGGTGGACAGTGGGGAAGGTGATTGCAGCACATGACATACGACCCCATGCTGTGAGGTGACGTTCGGTTCCGTGAAATTCAAATCTGCGTCTCCAATTTTTTTGTTTTGTTTTTACGCAAGGTTCAAAACATTGTTTGATGCCTGATATTAATTACACGTGTTTACATTGCCTGGGATGTTATGACGGAATTCTCGGAAGAAAAATAACCGTATTTGTTTTGATACGTTTGTCTTTAGTTTGGACAGCTAGGAGTTGGATGATGTTTAGTTGGCAAACCAGATGTTTTGCTTGGGCTCTTCCTTAGGAAGTTGTGTAATTGCACCATTTCCGCATTTCAGCATATCAGCTTTTTGGTTGTCATTACTCATATATATGATTGGTGATTTGTCACAGGTAGTTAACATGACTTTCAGGGCTGTATGTAACGTATAGTGATAATATAAATTACGTTGACTTTAATTTCTGAATCGCGTTGCTCTTTCCTACTTTATTTCTTTCCTGTTCTAAATTGATCCGTTATATGGTTATTTCTTTATAGATCTGTTTATTTTATTATTTATTCATTATTTATTGTCTGTTCATCAAGTAACACGGTTGAGCTGCGCTGACAATCCGTGGTGAACGCATGCGCAACAGTAAGCTGTGTTTCAGAACAGAGGGCTTGTTCTTATATTGTTCGATTCTGAAGAAAATTTATAATTTCAAAAAAAAAAAAAAATGAATAACGACTACACGTGCCAATCCGAACTTTACTCCGCAGGAAGCAAAGCCGTGTAAAGCATGAAACACCGACACTTACAGTTGTTAAATGTGGACACGGTCACTTAGTTGTCAATACGTGATCTGTAGATGTGTCAGCGCCTCTCTGTTGGCGCCAGGCACAGAGTGGCTGGGTACAGTCACACCTGCAGAGGGGAGCAGGGCACTGCAAGGCTACGATCCCCTTAGATAACGGTAGGAGGCAATTAATGATAATTTCTTGCTGAACAACATCCGGGCGATACATTTCGGTGTTTGATGTGATACTGCACCGATGGTGTTGCGTGGTTTCGCCCCATAAATCACGGGATGTGATACAGCGCTCTATACACTGGGATAAGGCCTGCGAACAAACCGCAGCCATTTGACGGAATCAGCGGCACGTGGAGGGAATATGTTACAATGGGGTAACGTCGCTCCTATCCGTCCTATCCCTAAGAGTAGAGTAACCACGACGGTCAGCCGTACAAATGTTAACAATGACACGACCAGTGTCCAGGCTGACACGGCCCTGACCATTGGTCACGGACGAAATGATGTCGGTGTTGTACTTAATTAACTTCCTTCAAATAGGGCCTCTGTCGTTGTTCGTGTGCGCACGCACACGTATAACAGTTATGTGTAATTATGCGTATATCCTGCATGCACGCTCGCGCGCTCACACACAAGCATTTGTTTTGTACATTGAATTACGTTCACAGAATTAAAAGGTTTGTCTCTTATTTATTTATTTATTTATTTATTTATTTATTTATTTATCGTTTGTTGGTTGGTTGGTTGGTTGGTTTATTTTTATGAGATATTAAATTATCACGGTGTTTTAAGTCATTTCGATCGAAAAAAAATAGTACAAGCTTTGTCAAGAATAAATAAAAATGGCAACACTTAGTATGATATACTGTTATGTCTGTCCTGAATGAAGATATATTTTTCCTCTACAAGTCAACCCCAGTGGAGTTCAAGTTGCGTAGTGTATCGTTTTGATGGTTGTAGATCAAGTAAAGCAGCAGGCCGGAATACGGTGTCACCGGGAAGAAGCGGAACAGCGGGCTAAAACCGTTGAAAGAGCTGCTGCACCTCGTCCGTTGCATTGGACGTCTC